TTTCGTGAATTTCTAGTTAGTGTTCAGCATTTTTTGTGTACGATGTTGGCGTAAGCGGAACCGTACACATTCAGCTGGTTGTGAAAGGGGGCTGTTTTTAGATGAGCACATTAGCTGGTTAAGCTAGTGGGAGCTTGCGCCATGGGAAGTGCAAGTTTAATGGTAACTGGATGGCTAATCCCACGTTCACGACGTGGTTAGCACCGGTTCCAGGCAATAGCTGGAAATTATAGCTTAAATTTAATTTTAAAAATAGCTTAAATCTGATCAAAGTGGCCTTAAAAAAGGTCTTAAAAAGTCTTAAATTTGGCTCCCTTAAACCTGCAGATACCCTGTCCATTAGCTTAGCTCCCTCCTCCGCGTTAGCTTTGGGTTAGCTTCAGGTTAGCTTGTAGCTAGTTCAACCGGGTGTCGTCAGTTGATCCCAGCCTTACAGCCACACCCTCAGCTCCACCTCTCTTCCCTTTTGTGGAATTGTCTGGGCTTGACGGAACCTGTGACACGGTCAAAATGGCGGTGGTGGCCACCTCCCATTTAGCCTCAAAAATGTGTTATTGGAGCCTATGGAAATTAATTGTCCAGTATATATGTCGATGGTTACACCAGAGCCAGGTTCATTCACAAAGTCCCAACATCATCTAGAATGGTGTGGAATTTCATGGTTTTAGTCATTTCCACGATTTGATAAATGTCTAAAACCACACTTGTTTACAAACTACTGATGGCTTCTTATGTTGATTATTGCATTTATTACTCTGTAATAAACAATTATTTGACCACTTTATATTTTCAATAGTCCCTTTTAGGATTTATTGTTTTCCATTAAATAAAATGTTACGTAATAAATGAATCAGGGTTTTTTATTTTCAGTTAAGTCTGAATGTTGTGTGAGACTTGCCCGTGTGTTCTGAGCTTTGGTTATACATGAGAATAAACTAAATAAATCAAAAAGCAGGGCTCGGTTCTGTCTCACACAGGGTCCGAAATTAACACTCGCCACTCGCCAAATGCGAGTAAATTGCTCCATTTGGCTAGTAAATTTTTGAACTCTACCTGCCACCTGGCGAGTAAATGTTTGCACCAAATTAGTTATGTTTATCAGTCATCTTCCATGGATTTCTGATACTCCTCCCGCCTGCATGCAACGTACACAAACATACGTGAAACATGAGCGCCGCATCCAATGTCATTTCCACCTATCCCATTCAATCAGTTTATCAAGTTAGCAGTTAGCTTCGTGTTAAAACTAGCGGTGAAATGTGGCGGTTTTTAACTGGAGTCAGCCAGCCTTCCAAAAGAAAACTCGTCAAACTGGAAGAAAAACCACCAGGACCAGTGGCAACCAGAAGATTTTTGTGAAAAGTGGCAAACTGGAGATGGCGGAGTCGTGAGACAATGGCTACATTATGATGGCCATGTAGCGTTGCTGCCTTTCACAGACAACTGTCCCTCGGCATTCTTCAAATATCCAAAAAAATGCCCATACTTCCCACTTTTCTTTGAGGGATAATAAATGTCCTGAGCGCTGCCGTCTTCTCCTTTGGCCATTATTTCAACTTTAGCTTCAAGAAAGTTTTGGTCGTAAACAACAAAGTGCGCATGTGCCGCCGACAACTTCCAGATGATACGGTGGCTGGTAAGGGTCACCGCGCCTACACCGCAGCCACGGTAATCCACCAAGATAATAAAAAAAAACAAGACGGTTATTATTATTGTCAACTTCTTTACCGGGGTTTACCGCTACACCGGTTACCGTGACAACCCCAGCCCTGACACACTTTCAGATATTCTCATGGTGCAGCTGTGTTCTCCAGAGATCAAGGACTTTGACCCAAATGAGGCTGTAATGCTTTGGCACAAAGACGGTGTCAGAAGCAGGAGGCCAGACTTCATGGACAGAGAAAACAAGGAGTCTGACTAGATTTCGATGAAAGAGTTCATAAAAACATCTCTAAAAATAAATAAATAGTAAAAATGACAAAAGAGTTGTTTTTCTTATTAATTGATGTTTTAATTATTTTGTCACTCTGTTTGGAATCAACATAATATAGAATAACATGCTTTAGGTAGATCTAAATCATTTAGGATTTTGGCCGGTAAAAAATATGCTTGGCCGGTAGATTTTCATCATCTACCAGCCAACTTGGCCGGCGAGTAAAAAATTTATTTTCGGACCCTGGTCTCACATGTGAATTAGTTCATGTAACTCCTATTGATTTAGCTGTTACACTTATTTATGCATTTAAATGCGCTCATTTAAGCAAGTAAATGGATGTGTTACTAAACCTGACCGTGTTGATGAATTTTATATGAAATATAAAAATATGAAAGTCTTCAAATCAAGCAAATTTCTTTTAACATAAAGAAACACGTGTGCAATTTTAATTGTTTTTTATCAACTTTAATTTAATTTAAAAACATAGTAACTTTACAAAATAATAAAAAAATAACGAATACAACTTAATACTTAAATGAAAAGGAGCAGATGGAAGAAAATCGTATATGTAATCTGCCCCATTCACACCATTAGCAAAAAATACAAATATACTCGCTACCAAAGATTACTGAGACAGCTGCCAAGCAGCTTGCCACTAATTAACTTACAATCCTTGAATGGAGTTTCAACACATTAGTTAGAAATCATTGCTGATCAATACAGACAAAACAAAATTTAAATAGAAAATACACCCAAGATTATTCCATATAATTTCTCAACATATAGTTTTTACATTCTGGTTAAAGGGACTTTACGGACTTTTGAACTTTTATGATCGCGATTGCCCCCTCAGGCCAAAAGTGTAACGGCAGCTTCAATAGTAGGCTCGTGCACTAGGCGCGCATGCTGTACGTGCACACTCCTTAACAGGGGAACGTGCAGCTAATTAATTAAATAATTTGGTTCTGTACCTTTCTCTTCAGCACAGCTGACAAAGGTTTAAGATGGCTCAGTCTCCCTGCATGCTCAGATCATTCCCTTCCCTTGCTTGAAAAATTGTTCCAAAATGAAAGTTGAACCCATATCTTTTTTTATCTGTGAATTCAATGCCGTTCGGCGAGTCTCAAATAAAAATTTGGGCATCTTACTGTAAAAAAATATACCATTAATGTAAAAAAAGAATCTCTAAATAAACTGAGTTCACATCCAGAATCGAATCCAGGTCTTCTGCATGAGAGTCAGACATCTTACAAGGTGAACTACACACCAGTAACATTTGAGGTATCTGTAACATTTATATCCTTGATGACAGCTGAAACAACGTCAAACCAAAGAACGGTTTGGAGCGAAAATGGCAATTTTCTTGCTAATTTGCAGGAAATATTTTGAAGAAAGTTCTACAGAAAGTAGCTAAGGGTCCTCAGAAATGTAGCTAGGTTCGTCACTAGGTGTTAGGAACAGCGACAGAGTCGCTGAGTTGGCACTGCCTCACTCTCTGCTGCTAAAGCTACTGATGGCAAATGCTACGGGCTATGCCTGAGCGTGAACGCGCATGAAGCAGCCTGCTCGACCCGAGCATCTCTCTTTTTCTGTGATTTTACAGAAAAACAGGCAATCACAGTAAAAATGCCAGGGCTCATTCTACAGGACCAGGGCATTGCAGGAGAATGTATGAAGAAGACATTTATTATTTCTATACATGTTTTGGTTGTCAAACTTCTATAATGCCCCTTTAAACATTATAATTGATTTGGCATCTTTCATTACGTATTCCAGACTGTTCCATATCCCCACTCCATATACAGAAACACAGTGCTCCAACTTTTTAGTCCTAAATCTAGGTTTTATAAACATCTCGTACCCTTTTAAATTGTAGCAACTTCTGTCTTTTTTCAAGTTTCATTTGAATATTTATTGGTAGATTTTTTTTAGCTTCATACGTCAATTTTGATATGTTATGATCCACTAAATCTGGAAACTTTAATACTCTCAACTCGGCAGATAATGGACTGGACGGTGCTCTGTAACTACTCTGAGTAATGATTCTTATGGCTCTTTTTTGTAGTAACAACAGTGATTGTCATTTCCGTGCCCATCTACTAATTTAAAGGCTTGTAGCTGTGGTCGGCTAGTTCTCGTTTACTATTGTTAGAGTTGCTATGAACCAACACACAAACATGCAAACACACATGACTTTGTTGGCACCATGGGTGGTCGTGGCTAAGGTGGGAGAACAGCTTACTGAGTACTCACAACAGTTTTTGGGCTCAGACTGTGGCCGCCCTCTCCATATGTTAACACAACAGTTAGTGGTTTCCGGAGGTGGTCTGAGCAGACCCAATTATGGATCAGCATGAGCACCAGGCACATTACAGTAGAATGCAGGTAGGAGTACCGTGTGTGACTAGAAACACCTGTAAGTGAAATGAACTCATAGCTGCTAAAAGCCTGGACAGACACAAATGTTGAGAGTTTTTCACAGATTCTTTTTGTTTTATTTGACTTTGACAAGCTGTTTATTCCCATTGCTGTCATCATCAAGGGTCTTTGGTTGTGTAGTGCAGGCAATTTATTATATTGTTGCCATTTACTTTTTGATAATCACTTAAATAGTAAACAATCATTCTAGTGAAGAATGCTGCTGCACAGAACCAGCAGGAGATGGCTTTAACACATTTCTGCCTAAGCCCCCTGAAAGAGGCTTTGTATGAGCTGTTAGAAATTAGATCTGGCAAGACACGAGTAAAAGTCAAGTTTGGTCTTGGCAGGCGTCGCTTTCTTTGTATGTCCTGACGCTGCACTTTTTCTAACAAGAAAGATAAAGAGTTATTGCGGTCCTAGCTAAAGATAGATGTCTGGATATCTGAACATGTGTTCTATGCATGTTTTAGACTTTGGCTTAAGCATTTTTAAGGTAAATATTTACTTTTGTAGTCCTGGTGCTGGGATCAAGCTTTCCTTTTAGACTTTGACTGAGTTCTCCTATAGAAGGTCCATAATTACTGAAACGTGTGATGTTGTTGACCACAGGTGATTAAATATATATTTGTCCTTTTCCCTCTAGTGCTGAGGCTGCCAGATCAGACCTGAAGTCACTGCCAGTTCTTCCTACCAGAGTGCTGAGGGAACATCCATCTCTTAGCTACTGGTAAAATATTTCAACTTAATTGTTGCAAGAAAAAAACTAAAAGAATGAAAGTTGTGTTAACAGAAATGTACCTAAACTCCGTTTGTAAGGGTTTGCATTTATATTCTTTAAAAAGGTCCTTCACTGAGAAACCATTTTACTTATTATTTCTGATTATTTGTCACTCTTGAGTTTTTCATGCAAACTGGACATTAAATAGTCTCCTACACCTATCTCCTGCATTAGCTTCTGATAGAAAATAGACGGTGAAACATAAGGATTAGAGAAACCTGGCAGATCTACGTCACACTGTCCCTAACATTCATGAACTAACCCATTTGACTCACAACAGGGAAGGTTGTTGTTGGTTTAGCGTACAGGAAACAGCAGAGAACATCTCAGCTAGTAGCTAACTGTTAGCATTAGCAACTTCACCACACAGTAGAACTCCTTCAGGCTTGTGTCATTTGTGGAGATAAAACGTCAACGTTGCAGAGCTTTTAGCCAATCAGAGGCAAAATGTTCAAATATCGGGAAATAAGGCTCCAGATCCTGTTGTCTGAAGCTACTTTCTCCTTTGGCTGATGTCCCCTTGTTGAAAGAGGTGCACTAGTGCTTTTTTCTCCTCACAATACGACTTACAAGGCATTCATTCGCCTCTTGTCGCCTCTGTCGGTGTGCCCCAGGGCAGCTGTGGCTACATTGTAGCTCATCACCATCAGTGTGTGAATGTGTGTGTGAATGGATGAATGATACACTGTAGTGTAAAGAGCTTTGGAGTCCTTACTCTTGAGAGGCGCTATACAAGTGCAGATCATTTATCATTTTATCATTCATTCCTGCTAGAGATCGCTGGAAATGTATTAAAATCATTAGAGAACATTTTTAAGGCAGGTAAATGTACCATTTAGATTTTTGTCAGGTTCTGAAGCAGTAAAATTAGCCCTAACTAAATTACATGCAGGTGATGTTTTACATGCAAACAGCAGCAGCTGGTTCTAAAATGCTTCCACCCAAAGGGGCAGCTGCCATCATTACAGCCAGCTGCTATGATGTGTAGGGTTAGTTAAAATGAGTACTTTAGGAGCTATATATATATATATATATATATATATATATATATATATATATAAACTCTACTTGTGACCAATGAGCTGTGATACTCTTATCTAAATATAGAATATCACCCTGCCTGGTCTTTATTGTGTTTAATCAGAAGATTCTAGGATTCTTTATTAGGGGATTGTACACACTTCGTTTTGATTCAGAAAACAGTCAGGTTTACAAAAGTAAGAATTTATTTTACAAACAATTATAACTTGATTAATTGGTTAACTATTATTTACTGTGAGTGGATGAAACTAAAGGTGATGTATGAACCTATGTGTGAATGCGATGAAGGTCAGAACTTCCGTAGCTCAGAGAGCTGCGTTCTGGATGTAGAAGAGTTTGGCTTGCGTAAAGCTATGACTAGGGTTGGGCATCGTTTGATTTTGAGCGATTCCGATTCTAGTTCCTCGTTTCGATTCCAGTTCTTATCGGTTCCCGATTCCGATTCTTTCAAGACATGATATGTTTTACATGAGCCAGCTAACCACGATCCTACTAGAGGAAATCTTAACTTCAACGTGAATTTTAACTCTATGAACAACAACTTCACCTTCATTTAGACAAAAACATGTTTTGGAGGAAAAAAGAAAAAGACTTGTAGCACAACCAGTGTGTTTGTTTCTGACCACAACCAAAGTCTGGAAGAAGCCTCTGGGATGAGAGGCTAAATGTCTCCAACATATCCAGAAACGTGCAGCTGTTTTCAGCTAAAACTCCCAGGATGATCATGTCCAGGATGACTGAGAACTACACCTCCATGCTGCAGCAGCGTTCAGTCAGAACATCAAGTTAAACTTAAATGTAGCTGCTGTCAGTAACAATCTAACATATTTTAAACATTAAAACTCTCAACAGAAATAGTTCAGAGAGGAAATTAAAATGTTCACAACTTTGTGTGTGATTTATCATTATTATTATTATTATTATTATTATTAATATTGTGAATATTATTTTTATTTTTATTTATTTTTTAAATTATTTAATGTGGCAGAAGCTGGTGTGGTCCACCACAGAGAAGTCTTCTCTAGCATGATGACTAATTATTCTACAGGTTATTGTTCAGCCTTCTGACGCTCCGTGTGTGTTTTTATTTCAGCAGTGAGACAAACTCACCTCACACCGTCCAGAGTTTGTTCTTTAAAGCTTCTATTAAATCCACCGTGTTGACGTATAGTTTCCTCTACGCTGCAGGAGTTAAAGTTTACGTTACGGAGTAAAAGTTCGGCAGACGCGTTTGTTTATATTTGGCCGCTATGCGCCGGGTGGTGGGAGCTGGGACTCGATGCTGCACACAGACAGCTGGTGTGATCAGCTCTGAAAAGCATTGATCACAATTTGCAGATCACGTTTATTTTTCATGGAGATCGGCCGCGGATTCCTCTTCTGTTGGCATTCTAGGAATCAAAACTAGGAATCGAAATAAAAAACGTTGAGCGATTCCGGGAAAAATGAACAGTTGGAACCGGTTCCAGTCGATGCTTGATGCCCAACCCTAGCTATGAGGTTGACTGTTATCAAAAACCCACATCAGACGCTATCTGTGTATCTACATGACCCGTTTTCAGAGACCCTCTTGGTGGATCCGAAAGTCAGAGAGGTCGGATGACCGCTGGCACCGGAGGACTGTAGAATACCATGGTACCGATCCTTTCAGTCCAGAGATGTCTCGGGTCACGACAGACAGATGGAACCGAGCGTCTGGTACTCTTAAGGAGCCTAAACAATATCAGCTCGTTCTGCAGGAACTATTTTGTTGTGTCAGCTTTACAGGTGCAAAAAAGATTTTGACGACATGTCAAAATCTTTGGTGGATTAGAGGTGTGCTTCAGGTGGCCGGTCTGAAGCTTCTCTAGAACTAAAGAATCACCAGCGTGATCTGGTTTTAATGTTCTCATGTTATGATTGTGTAGCCAACCAGAGGTTGACAAGTTTGGATGTTACCAAGAATCTCAGAAACACGCCTTCTTTGATCCGGAGGCTCTGATCGGGGTAAAAGGTTAATTATGTGTCATGGACTTAACTTTACCTTACTTTGTTCTTGTGTGAGTGCAAATGTTAGGACCTTGTCAAGTAAACATGCTGAGACAATCACTGAGCACAGATTAATGAAACATTTCATTATTTATAATTATTATAAGTAGCAATAAACAAACGTTTAATTAATTATTATCTGGCTTAAGTTTTAGAAGTTCATATTTAATTTTAAAATCTTCTTTCTTCTTTGAAGCGAGAGTTTAGATCAAAGGGTGCTCTGTGAGGGGCCTTGGAAAGAACATGATGTCAATGTTATGATTCCAGGATGCCAACGAGCAGTTCAGGATCTTGTGGCTTGTTGGCAGCTAGAATATAAAATCCACCTCATAGGACTGACTCAGGTTTCTAGATGCGTGATTCAAAACACACCTGGTCATTTCAAATCAGCAGGCGTGTGTCGATTACATGGTGTTATTTACAGACAACACAGCTGTTATAAGCGCCGCATGTTTCACAGTGTTCATCAACGCTGGTGTGAGGAGGAAGGAGAGTCATCAGTCAGATTTCTCTTCTCGTCTCAAACACATTAAGAGCTTCTGAAGCTGCATCCACCTCTGATTGTGAACCGTTTAAACGCCCGACTGGACTTATTTCTCAGCGATGTTCCTACGTCTAAACACTAGCATCTCCTTCAAGGCCGGTTAATTATGAAATGTTCCTCATGAGCACACACATCTACACACTTCTCAGTATGTGCTTGTTTTGATCTTTATTCACAAAGGCAAGTTGCAATAATTTTTTTATATCCTATAATGATATATTTGAACAAAAATCCCTGTCCATTCCTAATACGAGGATTTTACCATGTTTGATTTAATTTAATTACGCAGAGTCATTATTCAGTTATGTGCTTAGCCAGCCTAAACGCTGCGGCAGGGCAAGAGATGGGAGGCTGTCTCGAGTCATCCTGCAGAAACTCGTCTGATTACATAACACTGGGAGGGTCAGGTCAGGTTCTGACCAGGATTATTGGATCGTTAATAAACTGTGGGAACAAATATCAACAAATGTTAATCATCATTCACAAGTCTATTTGGAGCCTTTCTCCATTATATAACATCATTTATCATTGGTTTGTTTTTTTTCTGCTCAGCTGTGCTTCTCTCACAAATGTCCAACCAGCCCAGAAAACAGGAGACGTGTGATCATCATCTCTTCTAATCTCTTTCAATTGGAGGATCTTTGTTGACATCGTTTTTAACTCATTCACTGCCAGCCGTCTCCTGATCGCTAAAGCCCTTCGCTGCCAGCGTTTCTCGCCGTTTTTACTGTTTTTTTAAGAGTGACAGAACGTTGCCCACTAGGATGATGTCGACGCCAAAACTACTAAAACAAAGCGGAAACTCACCTCTTACATCAGGTAGAATCTGCGCATTTCGAGCGTTATCCATTCTTTTATAATCTGTTGTTGAATTGTGATCGGCAGAAGCTTTTCCGGTTCGCGCCTCACTTTTTTTACAGCAGCGGCCCAAAACGATCTCCTAACACATGGATGTTCTGCTTCCTGATCACGTGACGTGTGACGTACGTGGATGAAGATCGGCTTTAGAGCTGAGATGTTTGTTCTCACGGTACGGGGGCTCGTTCCGATGCCCACACAGTAAAAAAATGCAAATGACTACTTTAGTCGTCATTGGCAGTGAATGAGTTAATCTTTGTGTGCGAGTGGCTGGGTGGCAAAACAAACACAAAATGGCCTGCTATCAATACACGACGTACAAAAGTTTACAGGCAAAATCCCCGATATAAAAACACTTCAACGTCTAAAGACGAGGATGTTTAGAGAGAACCATAAATCTGTATTCAAGAGAAAATTAAAGTTATTAAAAGCCCGTATGAGCTCTGGGATGACAGAAAACGTCGGTCTGATTCGCTGGCATGTTTTTTTTTTGTTGTTTTTTTTTTTCACAAATCTGCTGCGGAGTCATTTGTTCCTATTCATCAGAAAGGATGGACCCTTCACTCATGAAAAATGAAAGGCTGTCAAAGCGGTGGCCGTGCTAATAGCAGCAGTTAGCTCCCACGAGCAGAGCCACAGCGTTGTTTACGTCACCTGTGGGTGACGGCCAAAGAAAACGCATAAATCCTCACAGCGACTGCAAAGCCGGGTAAGTCTTCATTAATCAGTATCCTTATTTATTATTACAATGACCGTGGGTTGAGACACCTGAATCAAAACGCAAAAACAACATGGCTCTGTGGATTTCAGACACAAAGATGAATGTTTTTAAGAACATCTTCTCTAATTACCGTCAACTAAATGAGCCTCACAAACCGCTGGTTGCTGCAGGAGTCCAGGAGTTCTTCGGAGAGTCTCTTTTGTATTTCATGGTCGTTTACGGAGGAAATTCCAATAAAACATTTTATCAAGCCTCCCAAGGGCCGAACTATCAACCACACAGCAAGAATGACCCATCTGCTTCGTTGAATCCTCCAAAAATGCAAAACAACTGAATTAAAGGCTAAATGTGTTGTTTCTTGCCACACTCCTGTGATGCAATGCGAGAACACTGACGTCACAAAAGATCCTCCTATAAACAACTGTTCAGCCATTCAGTGTTTATAACCACGGCCAATCACTGATGTCTGGGGATTCATAAATAAACAAATGCTCTGGTGTTGGCAGCAGCTGTTAGTGAAACTGCCATTTCATTCAGTTTTGGGTAGTCGTGTGTTGTTACAGAGCTGTTGATGGGACGATGCTCCTAATGGGCTGACCAGTGACTAGACTCTGGTTAATTACATGAACTCATCAGCTCTGTGAGGACGCCGGAAGCTGCTGGCAGCAGCTGAATGTCTCTTCTGTCCAGTCCGCTTTTGCTGCTTCCCCGCCTGTTTCTCTGCTTGTTTATTTAAGGCTGCGTAAATCAGCCCAACATTCAGGGCATGACTGCATCGCCATGCATCTGTCTATCTTCATGCCTGCTGGTCTGCACTGTGTTGCCACTATACTATTAAGAAATGATTACAGTGGGAAGTAAATGGGAGGCATTTGCATGGATGAAAGTTATCAGCAAGCCAGACTGCATTTTCTGCATGAGCAAGCAGTCTGTGTGTCAGAGAAGGAGTCCCTCACTCACTCTTTCACTGGCAACAATGTGTTTCACTTGATGGATTATTCATTAAATATTTTATCCTTCCTTTCACAGTGAGGACAGAGTGATTGAACGCTACAGGAAACTGAAGGGATTGACCAGAGGACAAGCCATTGTGCAGTACGTTACTGACTAATAAGCTTTTAATGTGAGGGGAGATTCTTCCTATAGGATCTGCATCAGGTCTTTAGCTGTGTGTGTCTGCACTGTGGTGGCTGTCCCACCGCCTGAGTGTGTCATTAATTAGAACAGAGGCTCCTGTAGTGTGAAGCCGGCCAGCCATGACCTCCCCAGTCCCCTGCACCGATCAATAGACCCCCTAGCCCACCCCAGCCCCTCTGTCACAGCTCTGAAACACATCGATCAGCCTGTCGCTGTAAATGACTGTGGCTTCTCAGTGGCTGTAGCTTAAATCCCACTCAGTCAGTTGTGGTCGATGACGGGGATGAAGCGTGATTAGCTGAATTTGTGTTGACCTGTGCCTCTTTCATTGAAGGTATCTGGCCCTGGTGAAATCGCTGCCTACATATGGAGTCCATTATTACCCTGTGAAGGTAACAGCAGTGCCCAGACTCATAACAGTAGCTTAACCTGTAACGGCCACATGTCAAAACCACTTATTGTATGCCTTGAGCTTGGATATTTGTCTTTTATAAAACAACTTGTGTGTAAAACAGGAATGTTTTAGTGAGTTTTGTACAGATCAGATTTCCCTGTGAGATTTTATTGAAGGGATATTCAGCTAAGAGGAAACATGTCGTGTGTAAAAGTTACAAATGTAACCTATCTGACCCGTTGTAGTCAGCTCTCTTGACTAGACGTGAATCGTATTAATGCCTTGTTGTTCTGTGATCTAAATGTGGTGACAGCTGTCTCTTGTTTTCATGCAGGACAAGCAAGGACTGCCGTGGTGGCTGGGAGTCAGCTATAAAGGCATCGGCCAGTACGATTTGCAGGATAAGCTGAAACCTAGAAAGGTCGGCTCTATAAATCACATTTCCTAGGCTGGAGTTTTCGGAGTTTTTTCTTGGTCTCAATGATCTCATGATCTAGTCATTGTGGGACTAAAGGTAGTTTTCCAGGAGCACTACTCAGAGCAGCTCGGCCTGACCACTGTTCCTAAGTCCACGGTTTGGTGTTTTCCCTCCACTTTCTCTCCTCTTTTTAGTCCCTGCTCCGTTGAGGTACCGGGCCGGCGTAGTGATTCTGGCCGCTGATTGGCTAGGGGGTGGAGTCGCTGGTTTTTGCCTTCTGTTTCTTTGCCTGCTGCCATTTCCTGGTTCAGAGTCTGACAAAAAGCCATAAAACTGAGCAAAAAGTCTTGCAACACCACCATTTTTCAGATGAGTTGTGTTTCTGTGGAGCACACAGGTTCCCTTACACTGTTAACTGATCACTCAGATGGGCGGAGTCAAACCACGCTGTAGAGCTGCTTTAGGCTGAATAGTGCTCCTGAAAAATCACCTTTACTGTTGGGTGTTGGCCTTATAAATAAACCTGGTACGGTTTTCTTATGACTGACAGTCGATGCTCAAGCAAGAAGGTTCTTACGTGAATGTAGATTTATAAAAGTGTTGCTCTTAGCTCCACTGTTGGAGCTGACGACGGATGTCGTCACACCACTTTGTGTTAGCAGGTTAATGATCCATCGATACTCTGAATAGGTGTAAACAAGACCCTGGTTCCCATGCCAGGAGGAAGAGGATCACACGTGGGGGAAACTGTGTACTCAGTGCACTCAAGGCTGCAGCTCTGACAGCACAAACATCTTTGTCTATTTGAAAACAACTTGCTAATTTTAAATGGAAACAGAAACTAATAATTTAGTATATAAAAGTTTATCTTTCGCCTTGTGCCATACAATGTAGAGAGAATGAAACACACAACTTTAATGTTTTGTTTGAATGATTTGTTTGAATCCATAGTATACTGATTAACTCAACACATTATTTTACTACAGGGTATCCGCGGGTCCTTAAAAAGTCTTAAAAAGTCTTAAATTTGCTTTTCCAAATTTAAGGCCTTGAAAATCCTTAAAAATGACAAAAATCCTTAAATCCAGTTTCCAAAGGTCTTAAATTACCAAAGACCCAAAAAACAAGATTATTTTATTTCTATAAAAATTTTCGTGAATTTCTAGTTAGTGTTCAGCATTTTTTGTGTACGATGTTGGCGTAAGCGGAACCGTACACATTCAGTTGGTTGTGAAAGGGGGCTGTTTTTAGATGAGCACATTAGCTGGTTAAGCTAGTGGGAGTTTGCGCCATGGGGAAGTGCAAGTTTAATGGTAACTGGATGGCTAATCCCACGTTCACGACGTGGTCAGCACCGGCCCCAGGCAATAGCTGGAAACTATAGCTTAAATTTAATTTTAAAAATAGCTTAAATTTGGTCAAAGTGGCCTTAAAAAAGGTCTTAAAAAGTCTTAAATTTGGCTCCCTTAAACCTGCAGATACCCTGTACTATTTAAGATTACTCTCTGATTACTTATCTTTTCATTAGAATAATCACAGATATGCGTGTTATGGGCACATCTCAGCACAACTTCTGCAATCATATGTCCAACTCTTGTGTTGCAGCATTGATTGCTGTTGTCTTTGTGTCCTGTGATATTTAATGACTTCTCAGATGAGTGTTGGTCCCCAGCCTCTCTTGTTGGACTGAAGCTGTTGTGAGACAGGAACCTGTTGACGTAGCAGGGTGTGCTGTTTCTGAGTATGGAGGCATTTACAGCATAGCTCCCTTATCGAGGTGTAACAATGGTGCTCAGTGGAAGGCTGCAGAGGTCTGGGATGGGCTTGGCACTCTTCCACCTGAAGATGGGAGTGGGTGGGTGGGTGTTGAGGCTTGGGGGACAGTAGAGAGAGTGTTTAGGTCCTAGACTAGTTCACCAAAAGCAGCCCACCTTTTAGCTCTTTAACTTTGTGCAATAACACTCACGTGAGACCTTTGCGGTGTTCTCTTAAGAAAATAAAAGCGTATCTTTTAAATATGTTTAATTGCTCGTGGTGATAACTGGAGGTGTCTGTGTTAAAGTAGAACCTCTCTTTCTGTAAAACAGATGATGGATTATTCTGTCCTAGCTCACATTTCCTGTGTTCTTACACGTCATTGGAAACTAGAGATGCACCGATATAAAATTTTAGAGCTGATACCGATATCCGGTATTAAGATCACTGTTATGGCCGATAACCGATATTTGCCGATACCGATATACTGACATGAATGCTGCTTAAATCAGCAGATTTTGTATAGAATTTAAATGATTACAGCTGAATTTACCGTATTATGTACACACAACACACACATTTACGGTTCTGAGAAGATTTCATTCACTGTTCACATGACTAAACAATTACACATCACCTCCCCCTCACCCTCTAAAACAGGCAAACAAATGGAGACGAGATGGAAAAAATATCGGTTGTTAATATCGGCCCGGTTTTATTTATCGAACCGATATCGATATGTTATAAAATGACTAACATCGGCCGATACCGATATTGATGCCGATTTATTGCCGATCCCTATTGGAAACAAACAAACGTCAGTTTGAATAAAGAGACAGACAGAAAAGGCCTCATTTGACCACGTGCAGTAAAATAAACAAAACAATCTTGAGCAAGTGTAACATATAGCAGACACATTAGATTTATTTATTAGAATGGGCCAAAGCTTCTTGATGAACATCCATATAAACGTAAATACATCCGTTAGAAAAGAGCTAATTTCCACCTGTAGGACTGTGTAACCTGGAGCAGAGAGCAGCAGCCAGCGGTGGTGGGTGGAAGCACAGATGGCCCATTGGGCACTGGAGAGCGTAACAGCATCGCCGCCATATTGGATGGGTCACTTCACTTTCCAGAGTCAGCAACTGCCCATTTTTGTGCAGCCTACGGTTGCAACAACCAGCGTACTGTTGAAAACAAATCACGTGGGATTACTATTGACTTTTCTAGTCTACTTGATGGGATTTTATATTTAATTTAAAAAAATGTTTCATTATATTTAGATTTTGATTATAGTGCCATACCATGTGTCAGATTTTGTGACAAAGCTCGATAATATGTGTTTTTAGTTGGGTAACACCTTCCTCACGTAGGGTTGGGCATCGTTTGATTCAGAACGATTCCGATTCCTCGTTTCGATTCCGGTTCCTATCGATTCCGATTCTTTCAAGACATGACATGTTTTACATGAGCTAGCTAACCACAGGTCCTACTAGATGACATAATCTTAACCTCAACATGAATTTTAACTCTATGAACAACAACTTCACCTTCATTTAGACAAAAACATGTTTTGGAGAAAAAAAGAAAAAGACTTGCAGCACAACCAGTGTGTTTGTTTCTGACCACAACCAAAGTCTGGAAGAAGCCTCTGGGATGAGAGGCTAAATGTCTCCAACATATCCAGAAACGTGCAGCTGTTTTCAGCTAAAACTCCCAGGATGATCATGTCCAGGATGACTGAGAACTACACCTCCATGCTGCAGCAGCATTCAGTCAGCAGAAGGTGAAACTTAAATGTAGCTGCTGTCAGTAACAATCTAACAAGTTTTAAACATTAAAACTCTCAACAGAAATAGTTCAGAAAGGAAATTAAAATGTTCACAACTTTGCATGTGATTTACTATTATTATTATAATTATTTATTGTGGCAGAAGCTGGTGTGGTCCACCACAGAGAAGATGCTCTAGCATGATGACTAATTATTCTACAGGTTATTGTTCAGCCTTCTGACGCTCACGCACACGAGTGTTGGTGAGCAGCTGCGTCTGACTGCTGACGCTCCGTGTGTGTTTTTATTTCTGCAGTGAGACAAACTCACCTCACACCGTCCAGAGTTTGTTCTTTAAAGCTTCTATTAAATCCACCGTGTTGACGTATTTAACAAGTTTCCTCTACGCTGCAGGAGTTAAAGTTTACATTACATAGTAAAAGTTCGGCAGACGCGTTTGTTTATATCCAGGTGGGGGTGGGGGATGGAGGACTCAGTGCTGCACACAGACAGCTGGTGTGATCAGCTCTGAAAAGCGTTGATCACAATTTGCAGATCACATTTATTTTTCACGGCGATCGGCCGCGGATTCCTCTTCCGGTCCGCATTCTAGGAATCAAAACTAGGAATTGAAATAAAAAACTTTGAACGATTCCGGGTAAAATGAACAGTTGGAACCGGTTCCAATCGATGCTTGATGCCCAGCCCTATGTGGAGATGAATGCACTGGGGGAGAATGGAGACCCATCTAAAATGGCGGACGGCCACTACAGCAGCTCCAATAAGCAACGCCAGTCCACGGGGCTTCTACGTATTTTTATCTGTGGGGTGGGCAGAAGCCAGCGGCTGGACAGAGCGATGAGCTGCAAGCAGCCGCTGCTTCCACCTTTGAATCATTTCCTCACCTTCTTTCCCTTCTTGTTATTGACTGGATGGGCCGAGTCACGGGCCTAATCAACGTGACTAGCTGTGTCACAAGCCACGTTTACATGCGCCAGATTTTCCCAATCCCATTCAAATCTTGGTTGATTGGAAATCCCGACTCTCTGTTTACATGCACACTAACTGAAATGATCCGATCATGTCGTGAGTTTATTTGCACCAATTATTCAATCAGATTAAAAAAGTTGAGCATGCACAGCGTTTTTTCCCGGTAAAAAAAACATTGTAAGCAAACATCATGAAGCAAAATGAGAAATGTAAAAACATAAATAACTATTCTTCCTGCTTCCCTGATTCATTTAATCAATGGAATGTTTTTATTTTGCTCATAGAAGTTACGTTTTCTTCAGTGAATAACTGCAGGTTTATGCTTTGCTACGTTTTAATATTAACAATATTAAAATAAGGGAGGGCTATCCTCGTCTCTGCCTCTTGATCAGCTGGTCCGCGGGTCTGATGTGACGGCGTGCAGGATGCAGGCACAATATCATATAACTACTGAGGTGTTATTTATTTATGACATGTTATCTTTGCTTCTACCTGGAAATAAGATGCTTAGATTGGATCAAGCCCCGCCTCCCCTCATGTGAATTTGCTGCTCTGATCATGAGATTGTTATCCACGCCTCCACAGAAACTCATTTCCAAAACCAGAACTCTCTCTTAAAGTGTCTGAAAGGTTTGTAACATCTCTTAATGATTTTTTTGTTATACGTTGAAAACAGCAATGATAAAGTGTCCCGTAAGCCAGGGTGAGACCGTCGCCCTTCTTAATAACGTAACAAGAACAGCAAAATCATTATCCTTAAACGGACTGTAAAAAGAGAACTTGTCTATTACTGCTCTTCTCTTGTCAGCTTTAAATTATGCGTCATGTTGTGGAAATGTAGAGTGTTTCCAGCCAGTCAGATCTGGTATGTGGCGTGCTATCTGAAGGGGTGGGGCAGACCATTTGCTGCTCAGGCGAGTGAGTCAAGACCTTTGACACACTTTATTTTTTCATTTTACCTCAAATCCAACATTCACATATGACAGTGTTCTCTTCCCGCGGGTCCTTAGGTTGTGTGTGTGCGCTGGGTCTGAACAGCCTGATCCCATCTGAAACCACAAACATCCAGGCTTCTGTAATTAGACGTTTGGCAAAAACAAGACCAATGTAAAAGGAGACAGCAGCAGATCTACTTGTGCTTTGTGTTGTCTGTTTAAAAATCAATCCCAGTATTTATAACTGTGTGGTGTTGAGTCACTGAAGGATTTGATGGATCTTTAAGAGGAATACTTGTGACTGTGAGGTGTGTCACATCGCTGGCATAGTTCAGAAGTAGCTTCAGGAGCAGCCTGTGAGTTTCAGCTATTTACTGGCACACAGGAGTGGTTTCTCTAATGGATCATCCTGTAAAGTGTGTATCGGTGGACCTCATTAATCCATCGTTACCTTGTAAATGGAGCAAAGCAATTGTGAGAGGCAGGTGTGAAGCTTTCCTAGGTTTTTGGATCTCCCTGCCTCCGCAAGTTACATAAACAATACCAAAGGATATAGGGCTGTGCATCTAATCAGTTAATTAATTTTAGCCTATTTAGCTACTATGACTTGACATTTCTCTCCTGTTGTCTGATCCAGTGTCGCGTTATGTTGTGCTGCTATCAAACCCTTTGTATCCTGGTTTTCATTGTACTGATCTAAAGCGTGCATCTCTGTATTTTAAATACCATGCTGTTGAAGCCACCAGTTGTGTTACATTCTATGTGCAGCATTACAGGGATGTCTTGGTTACCGTGTCAAAAGCAGTTCCCGAGTTTGAGCGGCATTTAAAGTCTGAATAACTGGAAGCAGAAATAAATGTCTACAAATGAGGAGGAAAACTTTGCCTAGTAAATACCAGCATGCAACCTGCTCTTCTGGTCTGACTTGAAAAGGACGAGAGAGGGAGAGAGAGAGAGGTGTCTGTGATGTCAAAGGAGGGGGGGTGGGGGGTGGAGGGGGCGTGGCCAGCTCAGCTGAAATTCTTGCTACACCTATCTCACTCCTGAGAACAGACAAGAGAGCGTATTGTTGGAGGGAGCTCTAGCCCTGTGGGAAAGTCAGTCAAAGGATTCGATCTCGTCCGGGAGAATTCCTCTGGGGCCTGATAAGGACTAAACCCTCCGTACGGTAAAGCTCGTCCGTGTTCAGCTGATTTACACGTTTTGATGTTTCTGTGAGTTTCTAGGTGGTTTAGTTTATGTGAGGTGTTGTAGTTTAAATTTACCACATCAGAGAACATTCTTCATGTCAGAGCTGAATGCTCTGATGGTGTCAGGGAAAACTGTTGTTAGGTAACTTTTCTGACATGAGAGTAGAGTCACTGCTAAGTAGCTCCAGATCTACTGCGTGAGTGGAGCAGATGTTTGAGTCTGAGACGTTTTCCTTTTTCCTCCTCTGCAACAGAATGAAATGAAAATCTGGCACAGTTCTTCTCCTGCAGTAGTTCCTGTTGTAGCTCGCACTAACACCTGATTAGATGGCCCACTGAGGCCCATCCACAGCTTCTGCTACAGTGACTTAGACCCAGTTTACTTTAATACCTGCCTCATGGTGCTGTTGTCTTTAAGAGAATTTATTACCTCTCATGTGATATTTGTTCAGCAGCCTTTGTGTATCCAGTGACTTTTACATTGATGTTCTGCAAACCCCCTGTTGGGTCTGGGCTGGGTGCTTAGTGGTGTGTAATGTCCTTGCTCGCCCCACACCCTCTCTGAATAACCATCTCTATCTCTGTCACAGTTGTTTCAGTGGAAGCAGTTGGAGAATTTGTACTTCCGGGAGAAGAAATTTGCAGTGGAAGTGAACGACCCCCACAGGTCAGCAGCATTATCAGCTCAGTAGTTGCTTTTCTTGTACTTTCAAGTGTTCCTATTTTGGTGGCTGCCCTTGTTGCAGATGTTCTGACACGACGAAGGGCGTCAGCAGCCACTGGCCCATTTAGAGCTCTGTGTTAATGGCTCTAACCCGACTGCTTCCCGCTGTTAGAAAGCCACCCTTTTAGTTGTTCGAGCATCTCCTCTCCTCACACAGGGGTTAAAGCTACAGCGTTAATATATCTAACCCTTCTGTTTGTGTTATCCACAGGAGAAAGGTGACCAAGAGAACATTCGGACAGGCCGGTCTGGTTATTCACTCATGGTATGCCAGCCACTCTCTGATTAAAACCATCTGGGCGATGGCCATCAGTCAGCACCAGTTCTACCTGGACACGAAGGAAAGCAAAGTGAGTCTTTCCGTTCCGGCTCTCTGAGTCACTTTCAGTTGTTCACCGTCTCTGTCAGATCAGCTGTTGTTGACCCTAAACACACGTAATACACCTCATCACACGCTTAGAGCACTGGCATGGTACCTGGTGACCTATACAGGAGTGTGTGTGTGTGTGTGTGTGTGTGTGTGTGTGTGTGTGTGTGTGTGTGTGTGTGTGTGTGTGTGTGTGTGTGTGTGTGTGTGTGTGTGTGTGTGTGTGTGTGTGTGTGTGTGTGTGTGTGTGTGTGTGTGTGTGTGTGTGTGTGTGTGTGTGTGTGTGTGCACTCACACAGATTAGCATAACGGTCTGAAGCATTAATGTTTTGGTTGATGAAGACGTGGAACTCCTAATAAGGACGTTACCTTATTAGGAGTATGATTGTGTAACAGGTTGTTCACAGCAACAAGCCAGCAAATACACTCAGCTGTGGTTTGTTGAGTAACCCAACCCTCATACGTCAAATATTAATTGGGAGGACTTTTAACGTATTTCAGTTAAACTTGAACTGAATGTTGGATGGAAGGTAAAGCATGAAGATAGACCAGAGGTTCTGTTGTTAGTCTGAACTGGGACCCAAGTCTGTGTTTATGTTGCAGCTCCTTCATCATGTGACGTGCTTTCTGATCCGTGTCTTATACTTGAGGCTTCCTAAGGATGTCTCGGGCTTCCAGCCTTGTTTCATTAACCTCCACGTCAGGAAGTGTTCCTCAACTCTTAGCTCATATGCTTACTCATCACTCCTCAGATGTGAAGTAAAAATGATTCAAAGATTGGGTTTACTTTAGGGCTGCAGCTGTTTCAGAGTGCTACACTAGGGGTTCCCAACTTGTGTCTTTATTAACAGCTGCACTCTCTTGTCGTTGACGTATGCCAACACGTTGCAGAAGGTGAACTCAGTCACCAGATGTCTGACAGCTCTGAGACATCAGGATGTTTGTGATGGTCTGCTACTGCTTGGTTGTTGCGTGTTTACATGGTGAGAAAGTCTCTGACTGGATGAGAGAATTTCCTCAAACTCTGTGTTTGGCTCAAGGACAGCTGTTGTGTAGCCTAGACATCCAGACAGCAGCAAAAAGATTCTGCTCTGCAGGTTGATCTAGCCATGCTCCACTGGAGCCTCAGCTGGTCTACCACTGGCCTGAGCAGTTTTGTGTCTTGCCAATCACAGCACTCTAACGGTTTGGTGGGCCAATCACAGCACTCTAACGGTTTGGTGGGCCAATCACAGCACTCTATCGGTTTGGTGGGCCAATCACAGCGCTCTATCGGTTTGGTGGGCCAATCACAGCGCTCTATCGGTTTGGTGGGCCAATCACAGCGCTCTATCGGTTTGGTGGGCCAATCACAGCGCTCTTTCGGTTTGGTGGGCCAATCACAGCGCTCTATCGGTTTGGTGGGCCAATCACAGCGCTCTATCGGTTTGGTGGGCCAATCACAGCGCTCTAACGGTTTGGTGGGCCAATCACAGCACTCTATCGGTTTGGTGGGCCAATCACAGCGCTCTATCTGTTTGGTGGGCCAATCACAGCGCTCTAACGGTTTGGTGGGCCAATCAAAGCACTCTATCTGTTTGGTGGGCCAATCACAGCGCTCTATCGGTTTGGTGGGCCAATCACAGCGCTCTATCGGTGTGGTGGGCCAATCAAAGCGCTCTATCGGTGTGGTGGGCCAATCACAGCGCTCTTATCGGTGTGGTGGGCCAATCACAGCGCTCTTATCGGTGTGGTGGGTGGGATGATGCGAGTGAGTGAAACACAGATAGCGATAGCTTCTTTAAAATGGCTTTGGCATCAACTTTACACTATTTAGACTTGGGCTTTTCCTTGAGTCAAGAGCAGATAAAGGTGCTGAAGTCCTTTATTTAGCAAAAGGATGTATTTGTGTCTTCTTCAACAGAGTATGACAGACAAATGTAGACTCTGCCCCACAGCTGAGATCTGTTTATGGGTTGTGGTAGGGGTGGGCAATATGGGAAAAAATTAAATCATGATATATATGTATATATATATTTATTTTTTTTATTTTTTTTTTTGCAAAATCACGATCACGATTGATCACGAATTTTTCTATTTTGACAATTTGGACGTTTTGGAAGTTATTTACCATTAAAATACATAAATATAAAGTCATACCCCTTCATAGAAAATAGCATAAATATTTCAGAATCCTAAAAAAATCTTAAAATGTCATTCTCTCTCTCTCTCTCTCTCTCTCTCTCTCTCTCTCTCTCTCTCTCTCTTATATATTATATATATATATATATATATATATATATATATATATATATATATATATATATATATATATATATATATATATATATATATATATACAGGTGCTGGCCAGTAAATTAGAATATCATCAAAAGGTTGAAAATATTTCAGTAATTCCATTCAAAACGTGAAACTTGTACATTATATTCATGCAATGCACACAGACCAATGTATTTCCAATGTTCATTACATTTAAATTTGATATTCATAAGTGACAACTAATGAAAACTCCAAATTTGGTATCTCAAAAAATTAGAATATTCTGAAAAGGCTGAATATAGAAGACACCTGCTGCCACTCTAATCAGCTGATTTACTCAAAACACCTGCAAAGGCCTTTAAAAGGTCCCTCAGTCTTGTTTTGAAGGCCCCACAATCATGGGGAAGACTTCTGACTTAACAGCTGTCCAAAAGACAATCATTGACACCTTGCACAAGGAGGGCAAGACACAAAAGGTGATTGCTAAAGAAGCTGGCTGTTCGCAGAGCTCTGTGTCCAAGCACATTAACAGACAGGCGAAGGGACGGAAAAAATGTGGTAGAAAAAAGTGTACAAGCTCTAGGGATAACCGCACCCTGCAGAGAATTGTGACGACAAACCCATTCAAAAATGTGGGGGAGATCCACAAAGAGTGGACTGCAGCTGGAGTCAGCGCTTCAAGAACCACCACGAGGAGACTCATGAAAGACATGGGATTCAGGTGTCGCATTCCGTGTGTCAAGCCACTCTTGAACAAGAAACAGCGCAAGAAGCGTCTCGCCTGGGCCAAGGACAAAAAGGACTGGACTGATGCTGAGTGGTCCAAAGTTATGTTTTCTGATGAAAGCAAGTTCTGCATTTCCTTTGGAAATCAAGGACCCAGAGTCTGGAGGAAGAGCGGAGAAGCACAGAATCCACGTTGCATGAGGTCCAGTGTAAAGTTTCCACCGTCAGTGATGGTGTGGGGTGCCATGTCATCTGCCGGTGTTGGCCCACTCTGTTTCCTGAGGTCCAGGGTCAATGCAGCCGTCTACCAGGAAGTTTTAGAGCACTTCATGCTTCCTGCTGCTGACCAACTTTATGGGGATGCAGACTTCACCTTTCAACAGGACTTGGCACCTGCACACAGTGCCAAAACCACCAGCACCTGGTTCAAGGACCATGGTATCCCTGTCCTTGATTGGCCAGCAAACTCGCCTGACCTTAACCCCATAGAAAATCTATGGGGTATTGTGAAGCGGAGGATGCAATACGCTAGACCCAACAATGCAGAGGAGCTGAAGACGACTATCAGAGCAACCTGGGCTCTCATAACACCTGAGCAGTGCCACAGACTGATCGAGTCCATGCCACGCCGCATTACTGCAGTTATTGAGGCAAAAGGAGCCCCGACTAAGTATTGAGTGCTATACATGCACATTCTTTTCATGTTCATTCTTTTCAGTTGGCCAACATTAGAGAAACAAACATTTTTTCATTGGCCTTTAGAATATTCTAATTTTCTGAGATACCAGATTTGATGTTTTCATTGGTTGTCACCTATAAATATCAAAATTAAACGTAATAAACATCGGAAATACATTGGTCTGTGTGCATTGCATGAATATAATGTACAAGTTTCACGTTTTGAATGGAATTACTGAAATATTTTCAACCTTTTGATGATATTCTAATTTACTGGCCAGCACCTGTATATAAGGGTTGTCACGGCGTGAAAATTTAACCTCGCGGTTATTGTGACCAAAATTATCACGGTTTTCGGTATTATCGCGGCATTTTTTTTAAACATGTTACATTTTCAGGAAACTAAATAAACCCTGTATATCAGGAAATATTGTCCTCAGTTTGTGGCTAAATTTTGCCTAAAATGTGTTATTTTGTAATTATTTTGTTTATTTGTTTACATTTTTCCCCTTTAGTCTTTAAAATACCAATATTTGCCCATAAATTCTTATTTTTGTCTGTTTGATGTAATCATTTTAAAAATATTAGATCAGATAATACTCAGTACTCAAGTAGCCTTCTAATCAGATACTTTTTTACCCTTACTTGAGTAATAAACCCTATATCAGGAAAATATTGTCCTCGGTTTGTGTCCTTCCAGTGAGCTTTGCAGATTTGGGAAAATGTCATCAGGCAGTAATCATTGTTAAATTCATAATTATTCTCGGAGAGAGACCAACTCTTCTCTGCCCCTGGGAGGCCCGTAATGCATAGCGTCATTTCAACATGGCGGTGTCCGCGACACGGTTTATATGCAGGTAGCGGTGCTGCGGCTGCTTTATATAGCGACTCGTTGCATTCTCCCTCAACCCAAATCCTCGGATCACGCATTTTAGCTAAAAAGCTAACGTTAGCTTGCCTTGCGTTGACTGTAGAGTTGTGGGTGATGGTCACGCAGATGTGTCATGAGATTTGAAGCATTGCTGCCTTTCACAGACACTTTTTCTGCACGTGCTGCAAACAGGATAGCCGTCTTCTATCAACTGTCCCTCGGCATTCTTCAAATATCCAAAAAAATGCCCATACTTCCGACTTTGTCTTTTTTGAGGGATAATAAAAGTTCTGAGTGCTGCCGTCTCCTCCTTTGGCCATTATTTCAGCTTTAGCTTCAAGAAAGTTTTGGTTGTAAACAACAAAGTGCGCATGTGCCACCAGCAACTTCAGCAGATGATACGGTGGCTGGTAAGGGTCACCGCGTCTACACCGCAGCCACGGTAAACCCACCGAGATAATATAGTTTTTTAAAAAACAAGACGGTTCTTATTATTGTCAACTTTTTTTTACTGGGGTTTACCGCTACACCGGTTACCATGACAACCCTAAAATAGAGAGAGAGAGAGAGAGAGAGAGAGAGAGAGAGAGAGAGAGAGAGCGAGAGAGAGAGAGAGAGAGAGAGAGAGAGAGAGAGAGAGAGAGAGAGATGTCTCAAATGTCCCACGGGCACGTTGTGACCCAGAGGTTCCCTGATCGAGCAGACGCTTGAGAATACACTTAATGACCGCTTAGAGACGGGGCAAGCTAGTGGCTAATGCTAGCAGCTAGCCACTATAATTGAGTATGGTGTGCTTCTTCAAAGATTCATAATCGTTTATGTTTGCATCTTAGTGCATCGGATGTTAGATTATTTTCCTCAGCTCCACCGAGCAGCCCAGCTAAACTAACCAACACACCGCCTTAAACTTGCTGTTGGCGTGTCAGTCATGCCGACAGTAGCAGAACAGCAAATAGCGGGACTCGGCTGAAGACAAATATGCCGGTAGGCGCGTCCAGAAATAATGGCACAGGTGAGAGGACGTGAATAGACGGTTCTACGATCTCTGAGCTTTAGTAGATCGTCATCACTTTATAACACTTAACAATCTTATATCAGCAGATCGCACAGCCCTAGGTTGTAGGGTCACATATATAGGATGGCTTGCCAGGCTAATAGTTGTGTCTAAAACCTTTTGTCTGTTTTTGTTTATTTCTTTGAGACAGATTTAGTTTGATGGAAGGTGAGTCCCTGCAGCTGAGCGCCTGAACCAAATCCTTTTCATAAGAACGCCCGAATATCTTCAGAATAGACTTAACATCCTCCTTTTATAGTTAGAACAGAGAGCCCACAGACTGATGCAACATCTGACTTGTTCTCTCCTCCACTTTGTGCAGGAGGATTCAGGAGGCTGCATCTAGCAGGTCTTATGTTGATGATTGTGTTTTATCACAAACACACAAGACTTTGGTACAATGTTCAGTTTTACTGAAGTTGTTTAGCTTTCCTGTGAGACATGTGACTGCTTAGCAGTGGGAGGTCACCCAGTTTAAACAACTCTTGATTTTTTTTAACCCATGAATTGTTCCATCTATGTTTGCCTTATTCTGTTCTGAGTCTAGTGTTAAAGAGATGAAGCAACAGGCTGTGTTTACCTGTGAAATGTTCATTACAGGGGTTAGGGTTAGGCATGTGTGTGTGTGTGTGTGTGTGTGTGTGTGTGTGTGTGTGTGTGTGTGTGTGTGTGTGTGTGTGTGTGTGTGTGTGTGTGTGTGTGTGTGTGTTTGTGCGTGCGTGCGTGCGTGTGTGTGTGTGTCAAGAGCCCAGGCTGAGTGATGACAGAGATGTTTGAGGACCACACATGCATATGCACAGCCTCTTACATTCATATACAGGATATCCGTGAGTCCTTAAAAAGTCTTAAATTGGCTTTTCCAAATTTAAGGCCTTAAAAATCCTTAAAAATGACAAATAATCCTTAAATACAGTTTCCAAAGGTCTTAAATTACCAAAGGCCCACTAAACAAGATTCTTTTATTTCTATAAAATTTTCATGAATTCCTAGTTGGTGTTCAGCGTTTTTTTGTGTACGATGTTGGCGTAAGTGGAACCGTTCACATTCAGTTGGTTGTGAAAGGGGGCTGTTTTTAGATGAGCACATTAGCTGGTTAAGCTAGTGGGAGTTTGCGCCATGGGGAAGTGCAAGTTTAATGGTAACTGGATGGCTAATCCCACGTTCGCGACGTGGTTAGCACCGGCCCCAGGCAATAGCTGGAAATTATAGCTTAAATGTAATTTTAAAAATAGCTTAAATTTGGTCAAAGTGGCCTTAAAAAGGTCTTAAAAAGTCTTAAATTTGGCTCCCTTAAACCTGCAGATACCCTAATATAAAGTACAATCCCTACATCTTCTGTGTTTTTACTCAAGGCCGTTTCCCCTCTGCATTCCTCCACAGGAGAACATGACCACTAGCAGGAGCTCCGGAGAAATCGCCGTGGACCTGACGGAGATCACCGCCCCACGGATCAGTAAACTCATTGAGAGCAAAGATCCTCTGATAATGGCCAGCAATGGAAGCCTCATCTCCACTGGTAATAAGAGTTCCTGTCTTTGACGGGGGATGATTTATGATATAATTCGTAGTTAATCAGGCATGTGCTGATCCCAGGTTCTGCTGACTCTGAAGTCACGGAGGAACAGAAGAAGGAGAAGATTGCTGAATTTAAAAAAAAGGAGAAGGACCTTCAGGACAAGCTGACGCAGAAACTTGAAGAACTCAAAAAGATCTGCTTGAGAGAAGCTGTAAGTAGTTCTAACTTAAAGTTTTTATTTTTTCAGGAATCATCTTAACTTTGGTTTCCACACCGATCTCTGCAGGAGTTGACAGGCAAACTGCCTAAAGAGTATCCCATATCCACTGGTGAGAAGGCCCCTCCAGTGCGGCGGCGTGTTGGGACGGCCTTTAAACTGGATGACATGTTCCCTTATGATGAGGTTGGGTTCTTGTTTGGCTGCGTTTCTGTTGTCATCCACCTGTTTGTTAGGCAACACCATTATTGCACCAATATGTTTGTTGCAGTCATTTAATTCAGCTGTTGTGAAATGGAGATTGAGGGTTCAGCTCGTGTTTGGGGGTTCAAGTGACGAAACACTTTGTAAAAGCAAGCTTAGCTTGTTAGCCCCTGCAGCCGTTAGGTATCAGTTAGAACGAAGAAATCGGAGTTTGTTGTCACACGAGATGTGGCATGTATAGATAACACCTTGTTGTGTCTTTTACCTGAGGCAGGGGATATTTGAAGTCTGTTTTCTTTGTTCTTTGGAGAGTGTGTGTGTGTGTGTGTGTGTGTGTAGTTGCTGGAAACCCCCCCACCGACCGTGTGTGTGTGTGTTTCTCCACAGGACCCACATCTTAGGAATCTGGAGAGCAGGTTTGCTTTGCAGCAGAAGATCGTAGAGGCGGCCAATAAGCTCACCAATGAGGCCGATCTCAACAAAACGGTGAAAAGGAAGAGAAAGGACAACCTTAAGGATGCTTTGAGGAAGCTGGAGCAGATCGAGCTGGAGATAAATGCTTACAGGAAAACCAAAGGAAAGAAACCCACTCAGAGAGCCTCGTTGGTCCTAGCAGGTACAGTCCAGGACACGACGGTCAAGAAGTGAAATGTCTTCACGATCGGATGATTTATCCCTTTAATGTTTATTTTCAGATGATGCTCTGACCTCAGACATCAGCTCTCTCTCTGACAGCCTCAACCTAGATGACGGTAAGAAGTCTCTGATGTTTGCTCCCTCGTCCCTTTTTCCTAACAAACAAATTCACCCAATTCCTTTTGTCTCCCAGAGGAGGAACTTGGTTCTCAAAGGCAGCGGTCCAGATCAGTGCAGTACTCCCCTAGACCACATCATGCAGACACTCTGGACATTCATTACAGCGGAGACAGGCGAGCCTCCGCTCATGACCAGCTAGGAGACGTGAGGTACACGGCTAAAACCTTCACAGCTGCTTTGATGTGAATAGTTATGGATTCATCCCAGCAGACGGATAAGAAATGGGTGATTGAATACTGCGGCAACGTAGAATCACCTTTTGCTGTAATGGCCTGAAGCACGAAGCTAGTTCAGACCTGCAGAGTAGATCCAAAGCTGCATTCCAGCTTCCCTCCTTCTCCTGCTTCTCCAACAGTCTTGCACCAATCAGTGCCTTTAAAAATAGGTAGAAAGGAAACATGCTGCTACCTGTGAGTGAACAGGCAACAATCCCAAACTGAGACTAGAAGGAAAACAGCAACATGGTGTTGGAAAGTCAGGCAGAACAGCAGCTGCTGCGGGTGTTTACACAGTGACACAGGTGATGTGTTCTTCCCTGGGTTTTATTTATCTCCTGTGATGAGAAGGTAGCCATGTCAGTGGCAGGAGTTAGCCCTGAAGAGGTGGATACCCTGAAAAACTAACCTTTTGTCTGTATTTCAGATTCAGTTGCAACCAAGTGCACGAGTCAGCCCGCTACAGTCGCACTGAGGCCTTAACGAGCTGCAGCGGTCTGGCTAAACCAGCTTCCAGACAGCCCCACGAGGCTCGCAGCATGCCCGCCACTCCTGTTCTCACCCGCAATGCCTACAGCAGCACGCAGCTCAGGTCCGTCCTTAGACATAACTGCATTTATGTAAAGATTTACTTGAAATGTCGTCATCTCCTCTTAAACTGCTCCTAAAGGCGTTGCTCTATAACAGGTGATGTGATTTTATCCGTAGGTCTGAAGACGCTCCGCAACATTTCCGTCAACGCAGCGGGAGCCTAGAGTCGCAGTCTCAGGTCGCGATAGAGACCAAAGCGCCCAGTATTCCGACCTTCACCATCTCCACTGCCCGACGCAGCAACAGCACCGACATCCTGGACGACGGCTCCTCCTACACCAGCCAGTCCAGTGTGGAATACAGCGCTCCGGGCAACCACCCCCACAGGCGCAGGGCTCATGGCCGCCACAGGAAAGACCTGTACGCTAACACTGGCAGCATGCCCAACCTGGCTCAGCCGGACGCCCGGATGCCCTGCTACGCCTACCCACCTCGGACCAGACCCACCACCACGGCCTACTATGTCACAGGCTATCCGAACTACTTAGAGCCTGAGCCTCACACCAACCGAGTCTACGTGTACGAAAACGAGGTGGAGGGTCACTATAGCGTCAACCCTTCCTACCACCACACACAAGCAGCGTACCGCAACTACGACATGCACAGTCCCTACGGCACAGACGAGATGGATGGCGTTCCACATAACCTTTACGCCACAGTGCGTCCTCCCAGGAACCGCCCGGTACCGCGCAGCAACGAGCAGGTTAGCAGGAACAGTCAGAAGGCGCTGGTGGCCCAGCACTTAAAGGTCTGGTACGAACGCAACACGGCACACCGACACGGTGACTACGACTACGACAGGGCCCCCCAGCACAGCTTGAGCCATCAGATCATGGCTGCACCACATCCACAAAACTACAGGACCATTTCCTACTCATCAAGTAAGATCTCTACACCACCTGTCCTCCACGCAATGATGCCGTTTTTCACCGTTTGATCGATTTCTTTTTTCTTCTTCTTTTTTTCTCCAGTGTCGACAGCCTCTCATAGCGGGAACTGGCACACCCAGATGAGCGGTCGTGGTATGTTAGAATATGACATGCCCATGCACGAGCCGCAGCCCTACTCCTACTCCTACAACACGGCCCCCTGCAGCCTCTCCACCCACAGCAGGTGAGGAAAAAACCAGCGTGGCCTCAGCTTTCCTGCTGATCCAATAAGCCACTCCCTGATCCTTTTCATCCTCAGGGCTAAGTGTTAGTTTTTAATTACTTAGAGTTGATGGCTGAAGATATAAACTCAGATTTAGTTTTGCTCAGTTTTACACACAACAGCACTGATAGGTAGAAAATGTCAGTTTATTTTCTGCTCAAATTCTGCAGGGAAACCTCTTCCATAGGCATCTAGGACAGTCTGGTTCAGCAGTAGGATTAAAGGATCTGTGCAGGTCTTCTGTAGAGCTTAAGAGTGGTTCTGCTGTCCCTAACTGTCCCCTGGGCCCTGCTCTCTTATAGATACGGCTCGTCCCAGCTTGTAAAAGGCTCCTGGCGTAGCCCCGATGGCCAGAGACGCTGTACTTTTTTCCCTGCTAGTTCTTCCTCCTCTGGTTCCTCTTCCACCTCCTCCCTGCCCTCTTCCTCACCCTCTCCCGGCTGTCGAGTCAGGCAGGCGGTCTCCAGCCCTGCACAGCCCCACTTCTCCAGAGGGCACAGGCTCAGTAACGTGCCTTTTGCTAAAGGTAGCTCATAGTAAGTAAACAGCGAGAGCCCGAGCCTGTGCACTCGCCCGTCGTGTCGGCTGTTTAATCCACAGCTCTGCCTGTTGATGCTTTGGAGTGAACTTTAATCATCTGTGTCATGGACGGAAAGGAAACTGCATGGCATGTTCAAAATATGGCTGGCTGGCTTCTTGTGTCAGGTGGCAGCTGCAGCCTGCGCTACCTGCTCCTCCTCTTGGCACACATGGCCCGTCGGCCTGCATTTCACTGGGCTCTGACTGCTGAGACACAAAATTAGGAGAAATTAGGAGACTTGTCCACAGGAATCAGCATGGGGCTTGTGACAGAGTTACACATAAACAGCACCTGTCCAGCAAAGAATTCGGTACTTTTTAAGGTACTGACCGAATTCCATAGTATCGACTGAACACCGATTCACGTCATTTCAAACGGTGCCTCGTTTCGGTACCCGTCCTTCATAACGAGAACTTGCCTAGACAGCTGCGCATTCGCAAGAGCATTATGTCATCGGTCGCTGCGAGCCAGTTGTAAACAGAGCAGCATGGTAGAAAGAACGCATGCTAACGCTTGGGTCCACTTCACTAAATGTGATGGGTAACTGGGTTATGATGAAACCAGTGACAACGATCTAAGTGAGACATCCTCATCTTAATCTGCTCCGGTAGGTAAATAAAATATTTAAGATAACGTTAGCTTGATACGTTAGCTTCCGTTCCGCTAATGGTGCGTTTGCTTTCTCCTCGGAACTCCGAATTTCCGACTAGAAGAACATGAACGCGCTCTAAAGGTTGGTTTCACTTTACTAAATGCGACGGGTGATTGGGTGAAGATGAAACCAGTGACGATCTAAGTGTGAGGCATCATCGTTTTAATCTGCTCCCGCAGCTAAATAAACTGTTTAAGATAACGTAGCTTGATGTGTTAGCTTCCTATGCCACCATTGTTATCAGCTAATGGTGCGTTCGCTTTCTCCTGGGAAATTCTAACTTCCCAGTAGGAAAAATCAAATGAAAAAGGATGGCAAAAGGAATGAAGATACACAGTAAATTTAGTTCACAGTAAAGATGTTTGCTTCAGTTTAATTATCAGCTTATAAAACTACAAGGACGATGTTAAAATACAAACAGTTGTATGTTATTTATCGTGATATTTATTATTTATTTATTAAATATGGTTATATATTGAGAAAAATATATATTTAATCATAAAAGAGAATTAAAATAATAAACACTCAAAAGTATCGAAAATTGGTACCTTTAAGTACCGGTATCGATTCCTAGGTACCGGGAATTAGTACCGGATCGATTCAAATGTCAAAGGTACCCATCCCTATTCAATAACTTCTCAGTTTGTTTCAAATCTACCCCCCTGTGGTTGCAAATCTCTCCCAAAGTTGTTTTGCATCTAAAATTACATAATATTAGTTCAGAAGGTTTCTAGTTGTGTTCTGGACCGCTGCAACGACTGAATATTTTTGAAGAGCACTCTGTGTTGCAAATTTTTCTAAATAGTCTTTAGAATTTGCTGCAGTGGTAGAGCGAGGCCTGTGACTACTTGTTAAGTTGTCGACCATGCTGGTCACCAACAGTCAGCTCCTGTTTTCACCGAGGCCCGGTGCCACCGCCCACACTACAGACCCCATTGATCAATGTAAAGTACTGACCTCATAATGGTGGTTTGCTGTCCAAGAGCAGCTGTGTGCCAAAGGACTAATGTGACCTCTGACTAGGGGTGGGCGATATAGCCTAAAATCTATATTGCGATATAATTTGAAAAATGTGCGGTAACGGTATATATTGCGACATATGACTTTCTTTTGTATATATGTCAAAAACGACTGTTTCTAAACATACTCACATACCAGATACATTGCAGCAGCAGAATAAGCACACTTCAAACAGTATAAAATGTCATTTTAAGAAAATTTATTAATTTTCTTGCTTTACTTGCTCGCGGACTTTCTCGTACAGTTTTGGCTTCTCTGTTTGGCTGAAGTGTTTGCGACTCGGTACCTCGTAACGTGGATCGAGTGTCTTAATCATGTCCCGAAAGCCGCTTTTCTCCACTGTAAGAAACGGCACCGTGTCCTTACACAGGTACGTGGTAATGGCATTTGTAATATCAATCCACCATTGATTATTTCTCTCATACTGAGTGCCTTTAGCAAATGCTTGTAAAATATCCGTCTGCTGGTTTGTAAGACCACCTTTTTTCTTACCGCTCGACTGACTGGGCGTTTGTTGAGGACGCAGTTTTTGGCTCTCTTCGTATTCCACAACGTGCTTCGTTTTGAGGTGGTAAAACTAATGAGATGTATTCCCTCTATTCGCTAATACTTTCTTCCGGCATACCTTGCAGATTATATTGTTCTGCTCCACATCCGACTCCTTAAAGCCAAACCAAGTCCAAATGACCGATGTTGCACCGGTCTTCTTTACGAGAACCTCCTCCTCCACAGGCTCCATGATTTCAGCCTCAACAGCCGCCGCTTGATGACGCCATCAACATGCGCTACCGCGATAGGCCGGTATAGTCAAAATCTCTACCGTTGGCCAAATTAATATAATTTCTACTGCATACCGTTTATACCGCCCACCCCTACCTCTGATTGTTTCAAGCTGTGCATGTGTGTAACGCCGGCCTGCATCCGTACATGTGTGAAAGGCTCTGTGGCTGAGAGTATTGGTGTTTGAGTCTGACTTTAAAATCAGCATGAGGAGGCGATGTGCTTTTGTATTTTCAGCTCAGGCGATGTTGATGCTGTCTGTCTAATTTGCATCAATCCTGTGTGTCCGCCACAGATCGTATGTAGATGTAAACCACAGCAGCATGGACCCGGAGGAGCACATCCACTGGCACGAAGACTCCAAACCAGGAACAATCGTATAGCTAGCTGCCGTCCCGCTGCGGGCAACTGTCACTGTGACAGGCTGACTTTGTGCCTTCGGCTGCACTTACCTGTTTATGTGTAAAACATTCGAAGAATGAAGGAATTTTATGTGGAATTCAGAGTGACAAACAAATGAAGTGCTCTCATTTTCAGTTCTGTGAAAGCAGTTTAGACTGGAGCTAGGTGTTGTGATGATGTCACTGATGCACTTCAGGCTACCTTCAGAGACGACCAACACCTGAGACTGTCTCAGAGAGGAACCCCCAACGTTTCATGAACACTGCCTATGAAGGATTGATAAGGACAATGAAGGACTGAACTCAGTAGAACCAGATCAAAAGGATTTACCAGATCCACCTTTTCTCAGCATTTCTTTGAACAACCTTTAGTTATTTTCCTCATAAGTATTCAGTCTGTCAGTACACAATGATTGAGCCAAATCTTTATAGTTAACTGCACCACGTGAGTATTACCACGCACCACCAGTTTGATCTCACTGCCACCGCTGTTGTGTTGTTCAGAAACTGGTGAATGGAGCCATGCTGGAAACGATGGGCTGGAGCTCGTCTTTCCTCCTGTAAGTAAGTGTTGCTGCTGTAAATACACTGGTTCTGTTCTCTTCTTCTTACAGACTTTTTTATGTTTTTTAAAAACGTGTAATATATAGTGAACAATTGTTAAGCTGGTTCTTAGTAATTTGTATAATACATTAAAAAAGTATTTGAGTCTGTTGTTTTGGGGTTTGGTGAGATTTATTCACTATGAGGGAGCGCAGATCTGGCGAGGCTACTTAGACCTCCTGCAGGAGAGAGTGGGAGATGTCCAGAAGCCAAGCCACAGTTTCAGCTTTGAAACTCAGACCAGACACTTCTGAGACACATCCAGAGTAAAGGCGGTAAAAACGCTGCCACCCAGCTGGCAGAGTCTGAGTCGCACCACAGAAAAGAGACTGCTCGGCATCGCAACAGGAAATACTTCGATATTGTGGCGTATCGATGTTTTCGTACCTTCCCAGTTTGAAACCGTTGCTGTACATAACTGACCTTTCACGGGAGACCACGCTTGCTCTTTATGAAAGGTTTGGAAACGGTTCATGGATGAACATGGTTTTGGTCTTTTAGCAGCAGCAGGACTGGTACTAATGAATACAAGAGCTGGTTTTAGTCCAGCAGCTCTGTTGCTCAGCTGTTTTCCCACTGCTCCGTGGCATTGTCAGACTGGTTTTATGTCTTCTTGAGCTGCAAACTAACCAAACCGGTATTTAAAGCCTGACACACCCTCTTCTCTTTAACCTCTGCTGTCATCCATGTGAACGACAAGTTTATGGCACCAACCCCTCCCTGTAGGCATGGGTGTTGAGGCCTGTGCTCCACATGCTGTCCACAGCCCCGTCTTCCTTCCTCGTAGCGTGTTTTGTTGCCGCTAAGCAGATTTGCTTCCTCGCAGCGCTCTCCTGTGTTTTGCTCCTCGGCCTGAGCTCAGGGGAGGTCTCGGACGCTTTACATCGACAGAGTCACCCGAGGCAGAGAGAGAGAGGGGTGATCCAGCTGTCTTCCCCCTCCGCTGCTTCACACCAGCTGCAACCAGACATCAGAGCAGGCGGTTCCTGCTGACACTCAATGCAGCTGCTCTTCACAGAGAAGTCCTGTAATGGAGGGAGGGGTAGGGACCGGTAGAACCACGCTTGTTTGGGTTCAGAGAGAAATGTCTCCGTCACACAAGGAACACCGGCATCAAATGACGTGTAATCTGTTGCTATTGTTGGTCTGGGGCCTCCTGGGGACATTTTCATCATTCAGGCTGTAGCCATGACACACCAGCTTCTCCTGAGTACCTGTAGTTCAGGCTTCCTTTGCTGTAAACAAGCGTACCTCCCTCCTGCTGTAATCCGCCCCGCAGACCCCCTTCGTCCTGTAAAGAGGACATGTAGGACATTTAAGGGACACCATTTATGGATGGGTGGGGTTTGGAGAACTTCCTTTATCTCCTCAAACACAACACTGTCCATGCAAGCTCATTATTTTCAGAAAGGGGATTTTTTGGGGGGTCAAACGTTTGTACACACCTCACTCAATGAGTTGTCTTTATTTTCATGACCATTTAGAAAGGGGCCAACGAGAGCCAAACACCTCTGGGAACCATTTCAGGTGACTACCTCTTGAAGCTCATCAAGAGTGTGCAAAGCAGCAATCAGAGCAAAGGCCGGCTATTTAGAAGAAAATCGAATATAAAACATGTTTTCAGTTATTTCATCTCTTTGGTTAAGTACATAACTCCTCATGTGTTCATTCATAGTTTTGATCATGGTGGGGTTCTGTCATGAAAGCAAACACATTGAATGAGAAGGTGTGACTTCTCTGCTTATTACTTCTCCTCCCAGAGGCTTCTTCAGTTGGGATTAGGTTTATAAAATAATCTGAAAGCAGTTTGACTCAATAACAATCAGAAGTTAAGGTTTATTGTCTTTGTTTACACGACCACATATTTACGTTTATTCAAAGTTGTGTGTTTATTAGATCTTAAACACTCAAAGGTGTCAGTGATTACGTGCACTTTCTTAACAATTCAAGCCTTATAACTACATCCAGCTTGTGACAGAGATAATCTACTGAAACTGGCCAGCCAGACTAAGATTAGGTCCATGCTGTAAGGCTTGTTGTGCATTTCTCTATGAGTGGCTCGCTCACTCCTGTAAATCCAGGAAGCAACGACTCAGACAAGTTATTAACTGGGAGTCGCCGGATTAGCTGACCAGTCACATTCGCACCAGTCTTGCTTATGTGACCATTATGGATTACCTTCTTTAACTCAGCAGACTGTAAAGGTCACTGTGGGTCATCGCTCATGTGCCACATGATGGGTTCAGTTAGTGCACGCATTCAGAGCTGCTGAATGACAGGCTGCTTGAGTTATGAGCTCTAGGAGCAGCTTAGTCAGCCAAAGGTTCTCAGGCAAACCATGGGCGTGTGTGTGGGTGTGTGTGTGTGTGTGTGTAGAGCAAAATTCAGCAATGCATGGTTAATCACTCCTCACATGAGCAGAGCAGGTTAGCAGCAAATACTTAGTTTGACACATTCAGCGGTTTTTGTTTTACACCACCAAGTTAATTCAGAGGGTTAAGATGGCAAAGCACACACACACACACACACACCTGTTGCAAGTGCAGCAGCACACACACGTGTTGATGTGGTTCATACAGCAGCTGCACCAGAAGGAACAAGGGCTTCCACTGTGTCCTCAGACATGACTGCCCTTGAATCTGCTGCTGCGGTGCTCAAATCCACCCCTTTGTTTCACAACATGAATGAAGATGATGATGATGATGAGGAGGAGGAGGAGGCACTGCCGCAGAGGGCATAAATCACTTTAGGCCAGAGGAGTGACGTGCTGCAGCTCGTTAGCTAGTTAAGACAGAAACGGTGAACAACCGTGTCCGAGGATATGATCAACCCGACGTGTCTGACACGACCGTCGGATCATTTTGTTTAAGTGAACTCTTCAGACAACAGGATAACATTATGGCACCAGAACCAGATTTATAGTTTCATCTCCATCGCAGATCAAGCCATTTGTTCTGCTTGACTGTTACTAAACATTCTAATCGGCCTTTTTCATAGCTGACTTTATGTAATGAACTCGCGTTTCTACCTCTTAAAACATCTCGTTTGAATGCTCCACCACGATCAGCAGGTCCTACAAAAGCAACCCTGAAGGCCTAGAAAGGTTTGAAAAGCAGGATTCTGGCTCAATAACAGAGCTCTAGCTGGGTTGGGTACTTCAGCACGCTGAGCTGTAGTTTGGTGCTTTTGTGACATAAAAGCACAGCTCAAGTGTCTTCTGAGGAGAGATGAGCGTTAGCACTGTCAGCTGGAGGTAATGGGGGTGTAAAGTCCACATCGTCCACTGTCTTTCATGCTAAGACCGTCTACCATTGAGAAGTGACACAAGTCTTGGTTAAACAACATTGTGTGTGATCAGACACCGAATCGTGCACATCCAGGTAGTGATTCTCTGATCATGATGCCAGGTTTCAGCTCAGTATCGATAAAACTCGCTATCTTGATTACAGGTGGGGGCCATCTTGACTTGGATTGACTCCATAAATGGTAACGGCAGAATTAATGACCAAACTTACATGGCCTTTTGACCCATTTTAAAAATGGCGGACCGCGCTCCACCTTCTGAACCTGGTTAGTGAGCTTCGGAGGGTTGAGATCTGGCTGTGGTGCGATCTGATATCTACTCTAAGAACTCAGGAAATAGTTATAAAGAGCTCCTCGTGGCCATTTTTATTATCTACCAGAAAGCAAAGGTAAAGATGGATCTGCAGTGTTACTGTGACCGCCAGGAGAATATCTAACGAACCACTGGGTGGATCTGAATGAAACTCAGAAGGTCTTTCTTCATTTGATGGGACATCTGCAACGGTCAACCCAATTCACCATGGCCGCCACAGTTAATCAGCATTAGCAAACACAAAAATCCCAACAACTCATTCTGAATAAAAATGAAAGTCATTCCCAACACCAACGGCCCTGCACAAGACCCACGATGGTGTATCATTAGTTTGGCTGATCTTCAGACCTCTCACATGAAGGGAGGTGGGCCACCTGCGTTCTGCCAGGAGGATAAATGAAAAGGGAAGCCATTTTTCATTCGTGTAAATGTTTGTATGATGATGAAAAGACAAAGATACACTCCTGTTGAATGTTGGTTTCACGTTTTATTCTAAATTCGGACACGATCAGAGAATTGTTCGTCCCTGTAGGCGTCAGAGTTCGTGCTCCTGTTCACGTGTGGACTGAAGTAAACCGAAGGAGAGATCCACAAACTTGAAACGATCCAGTCTTGGCAGTAACGGGGGCTGAGCATGCACTTTTCAGTCTTTGTTAAGAGGCAACACTTGTGCTGATTGAGTGCAAACTGGCAGAGCAGACGGCGTTCTGAGGCTGATTAAACACAGATTTCATCAACAAGGAGCCTGCAGATGTGCTGCACAGGACTCCTGTTGCATAGCAGCATAGCGGAGATGAGGGAGGCAGCACCGAGACGCCCGAGCCACTGAAGGGGGGAGACAGTGTGCCGACACGTCCTGAGCAGAGTCACCAGAAACCCTCAGGTGGAGAAAAACTCTAAAGATTAAGGACAGAATGCAGAGAATGAAGTCACGACTGGCCCAATACATCGACACGTGCTCCTTCCGGAGAAGTCACTCGTTTAGTTTAGCCTCAAGAAGGTTCTGGATCTTCTGAAGGTTCTCTTCTTGTTGTCCCAATGCCTGGAGCAAAATCCCCATAGGTGACCTCTTCAGTCCCACGCCTTCAATCTTGTTTTCCAGCTTATTCTTCATGTTGCGAAGGCGAAAGGAAGCGTGTGCAAATACCGCTGTAACACAGACGGAAACACACAAATGCTAAAGTTTGGAATATTTGGCAAAAACAAAACCATAAATAAAGTCATTGCTGCAGGGATCAGAACGTGTTCTGGAACGTGTGTGTGTGTGTGTGTGTGTGTGTGTGTGTGTGTGTGTGTGTGTGTGTGTGTGTGTGTGTGTGTGTGTGTGTGTGTGTGTGTGTGTGTGTGTGCGTGCGTGTGCGTGTGCGTGTGTCTTACATGCCAGAGGTAGAATGATTGCATACATGAATATCATGACACTCCCCAGCATGGACAGCAGCGTGTAGCTGGCTACCATGACAGCAATCACAAAGATGGTGGGGTTCTGCCTCTTGAAGTTGTTGATCACAGCTCTGTTCTCTCCGACCCACACTGAACCCATGAAGACCCCCGATACCACAGCCAGGGCTGTGATCATCCCCAGGGGGTTCAGAAACCTGCAGGGTGACAGCGGTTTGGGTCAAACATGTTCTGATCCACCTGGAGCCGTTCTCTGGTCCTGTGTGGTCACTGGCTCCATCTAGTGGTCAGAAGACGAATAACAACAACAGGACTAAATGTCTGACACAAGTACTACAGGTAGTACTAGATAGTAGTATTTTACAGGTTAAATAAAAATACATACAAAGCTAATTAACCATAAAAGCTGTGGTGAAAAGTATTCACTTCCATATAAGTTTCTTGTTTTTTTCCACACTTAAAATGTTTCAAGGTGTCAGAAAAGCCATTCGGTAGCTGAAACAACCAGTTATTTTATCTAGGGAAGACAACAATCCATCCAAACCGATCTGGTGCCATGTGAAAAAGTGTGACTCTCTAAGTGATAGAACCGTGAATTATGTTCTCTAACAGAACATCCTGAAGGAGAATGTCTGACCTTTGACCTTAAAGCAGACTGTTCACGCTGACCCCCTCTGGTGTGGCTGAATTCAAACAAGAAGAGTGGGACTAATGGGCCATTCCCATCTGTACCGGGTCGGCCCGGGCCGGGTAGCCCCAGTCGGCCCCAGCCTGGCCCGGTTGATTCCACACATCCTTGCCTTAAGTCCATGTGGGCTGATTCTACCCACCAATCAGAGGCTTGCTCTAATGGAAGGTGTGAATTTGCTGTCAGCAGTGGGTGTGTTGGCCCTGGTTGGCCTGAAGCAGACCCCCTCGAGAAGAGGGCTGAGGATGAGCCTTGATTGGCCCGGAAAAATACCAGGCCACTCAGATATGTAAACAACCTACGCTACCCGGCCCGGGCCGACCCGGTACAGATGGGAATGGCCCATAAAGTCCTCCACGGGGATTAGAGTTCTCACTAACTGGATTCAGTAGGGGTTCACCTAGAGCCGGGTTAGTATGTATAGGTTTGTTAACTCAACAAATAAAGTCATTTGAAAACGACATTTTGATTTACTAATGTTATTTTTGTCTGATATTGAAATTTGTTTGAAGGTCTGGGACGTTTAAGTGAACAAAAAGTAAACAGAAGAAACTTCGATCTGAGATCACTTAGAAAATGAAATGAACATTATTCCCATGTGTAGAAATGAAGGTTAACTGGTGTGAGTTAAATCTGCACCAGCTGTGCTTCTGTAGTAGCAGCTAACAACAAAAGGTGTAAACAGTAAGGACATGGCAGAAGATCGTGTGGTGGTGGTTTCAGAACAGCCCGGTCTTCACCACACGATCCCTGACCCAGGTCCTAGTCTCTCTTGTAATAACTCCATATAAGAGTAAGAAAATGGACGGGTGGATGGATGTTTATGTTTATCAGTAAAAAGTAGAGCCGACATTAACCGTCATCATCAGTTTTTTGACAATACACAAAGCTCTCCACCAAAGGTGTGTAACCTACATCACAACAGAACCATTTTTGACAGGTTTTTTTTACAGCACAGGTAAGTTCTCGTCCTCTGCACCAAGTTCAGAGAAACTGTCAGGTGTTATTTTTCTCTGATCACGTTGAAGCAGAGAGGAGTGTTTACGTTAACGTGATGGCTGTTGCCACACTGGATAAAACTCACATGATTTTAGGAAACAAGCAAACAAAAATGTGTCAAAGTTCAGCTTTGCTCCCTAGGTGGCGCTAGTCAGGATGGGCTCCCTGAGCGGCTTTCCAGCTGTTGGTCTCCTCTGTAATATGAGGCAGCAGCTGTTTTATCATTGGTAAACAAAAAGCTGATCATATGTCAAACAGATCAGCTGCCAGACAGGACAGAGCATCCGTATTTTAGCTTTAACTGGAACACAGAGCTGATCTAATTATTGTACGCTGTTAGACAGGTCCTCTTAAATGATTCTGACTTTTACATTTTATAATTTCCTAACAAATTTTTGATAGATTTGACAGATTTTGACTCTTGCTATCAAAACAAACAATGTCACAAATTTGTATTAAAAACACTAAAGATCAGCACACCATCAGCTAAGTTAGCATCCTGTATGCTTTAGCTGCTTCTAAGTAGGTTAAAACCTACTTTAGACCAACACGGTTAAATAACACAGATACGTATGACACACACCACCATTCAACACAAACCAGGTGCTGTGTGACGTCTTACCCGACAAGAAGGAAAACAACCACGGCCAGTAGCATATAGTTTGTCTGATAATAAAGCAGGTTGCTAATAATTCTGTTGTTCCATCTCGCCAAGTCTCTGACATCCGGTTTAGCGAACCTGTCGGAACCGGGAAAGAAGTCGTCCCATGTTCTGAGTGGTGTTAACTCGACTTTAGCCATTTATGCCCAGCTAACTCCTCTGACACCAACACCAGAGGAAGAAACTTCTGAGAAAAGTCTCGCGAGACAACGCGCGATCATTAAACTCCGCCTTAAAGTCCGACGAAACTGTTTGATTGGTCAACCTGCGCACGTGTTTATAGCTATTTTAGCAACGCTTAGAACGAAGATGGATTAAAACAACGCTGTACGTACGTTAATGTTCTCCAAAGTGGCATAGTTCTGTTTGTTGTATTTTTATTTGGTGTAGAAACTGTTCCTATGCTGGTTACACTGGCAGGTGTTCGGAGACAGCAGCTAACTTCATGTTAGCCAGCTAGCTCTCGAGTACACGCTGGTGGACTCAAACCGAAACAGGTGACAGGTTTCTGCGCTTTGTTTCTGCAGATGTGGAGCAGACTGCTGAGAGTTCCAGTGGTTAATAGAACAAGTTATTGGAGAAGTCTCTTTACTATGCGACTGAAGACCAACGAGTTCCAGTCTCTGTTTACAGAGGGACTGAATGGACTAGCAGGTGACATGCACACGTTTTAATGGTGGTGCCATTTATTTATCTGACAGTCAAGAGACCTGGAAAGTGTGCTACTGATTGTAAAGTGGTGAATTTGATTTGCTGTAACGTAAGTTAAACTGGAGAAGCACATGAAAGCTACATATTGAATCCAACAGTTTTCTAAGTTATTTTTGACAGATGTATATAATAGATTCTCAATATAAACTCATTACCTGCTTTTAAAGTATTTTTTATCGGTCAGTCTTCATTGAGATGGCGGGTGTGTGTATTTGTGTTAGGGATGCACCGATATGATTTGGTTTGTGTGAATATCCAATATTAATATCACTGTTATGGCCGATATCGATTTACACTTCTGAAATCAGCAAATTTTGTATGGACTGAAATTCTGCAAGCTGAGTTTTTTTAATGTTTTAATTTCTATAAAGTGGAACTTGCAATATGTTTTATATATGTACAACCCTAACCCATATATATATATATATATATATATATATATATATATATTATAACCACCCACCCCCACCCCACCCCACCCCACCCCGGATCTGATTCAATTAAGATTTAATATTTTGTCCTTTACTGGAGTTGAACTCCTCCAAGGCTGCCCCTTGTCACAGATTCTGTTCATAACCTTTATGGACAGGATTTCTAGGTGCAGTTTAGGGGATCTGTTTTGGTGGCCTAAGGATCAGGTCTCCTCTTTTTGCAGATGATGTGATCCTGTTGGCTTACTCGGACTGTGATCTCCAGCTTTCGCTGGAGCGGTTTGCAGCTGGGATGGGAATCGGCTGCTCTAAATCCGAGACCATGGTCTTGAATCAGACAAGAGTAGAATGACGTCGCCAGGTCAGGGAGGAGGTCCTGTTCCAAGTGGAGGAGTTTAAGTATCTTGGTGTCTTGTTCACGAGTGAGGGAAAGATGGAGCAGAAGATTGACAGGCTGATTGGTGCTGAGTCTGCAGGAATGTGGGCGTTGTACCAGTCTGTCGTGGTGAAAAGAGAGCTGAGCTAGAAGGCAAAGCTCTCAATTTAGCGGTTGATCTACGTTCCTGTCCTCACCTATGGTCACAAGCTTTGGGTAGTGACCAAAACAATGAGATCGCGGATACAAGCGGCTGAAATGAGTTTTCTCTGTAGGGTGTCTGGGCTTAGAGATGGTGTGAGAAGCTCGGTCATCCGGAAGGGGCTCAGAGTAGAGATGGCTGGAGCATCTAGTTAGGATGCCTTCATGGTGAGGTTTTCCAGGCATGTCCAACCGGAAGGAGGCCTAAAAGAAGACCCAGGACTATATATTATATATACTTGCCAGGGAAAGCTTTGGGAGTGAAAATATTAATGAGGTTTAATTATATAAGCTGCGCTAACACATCTATATATCTTATGATTAAAAAAACTCCCAACTGGCATATTTCTGGTGTCCACTGATCGCATGTTTTTGTTCTTTTCCAGAACTGTTTGCGAAGCAGCAGTATGAGCTGCGGATAGCTGGCGGCGCTGTGCGGGACCTGCTGTCTGGGAAGCGGCCCGAGGATGTGGACTTTGCCACCACAGCGACTCCAGAGGAGATGAAGCTCATGTTTCAAAACGCTGGGCTAAGGATGATCAACAATAAAGGAGAGAAGCACGGCACCATCACAGTTCGGGTAAGAAGAAAATGTTCTTACACAATGATTAAAGAACAAGCGGGTGCATCTACTTGCTAGATATCTTATTTTAAATAGGGATGCACCGATCAGGTTTTTTGCTGCCGATCACCGATACCGATATCAAAGAATGCTGATCACCGATACCGATCACGTGGATTGGCCAGAAATTTTCTACAACATTATAATGAGTGTTACAAACTACATAATCTGGGAATAAAGGAAATGTAACCTAATCTAAAATGGTCTGTATTAGGGTTGTCACGGTGTGAAAATTTAACCTCACGGTTATTGTGACCAAAATTACCACGGTTACCTGTATTATCACAGTATTTTTTTTAAACGTGCTACATTTTCACACAATTAAATAAACCCTGTAAGTCAGGAAATATTGTCCACAGTTTTTGTCTAAATTTTGCCTAAAATGTGTTATTTTGTAATTATGTTGTTTATTTGTTTACATTTTTTCCCTTTAGTCTTTAAAATACCAATATTTGCCCATAACTTCTTATTTTATGTCTGTTTGATGTCATCATTTTAAAAATATTAGATCAGATGATACTCAGTACTCAAGTAGCCTTCTAATCAGATACTTTTTTACCCTTACTTGAGTAATAAACCCTATATCAGGAGAATATTGTCCTCGGTTTGTGTCCTTCCAGTGAGCTTTGCAGATGTGGGAAAATGTCATCAGGCAGTAATCATTGTTAAATTCATAATTATTCTCGGAGAGAGACCAACTCTTATCTGCCCCTGGGAGCCCCGTAATGCATAGCGTCATTTCAACATGGGGGTGTCCGCGACACGGTTTATATGCAGGTGGCGGCGCTGCGGCTGCTTTATCTTCGGATCACACATTTTAGCTAAAACGCTAACGTTAGCTTGCCTTGTGTTGACTGTAGAGTTGTGGGTGATGGTCACGCAGATGTGTCATGAGATTTGAAGCATTGCTGCCTTTCACAGACACTTTTTCTGCACGTGCTGCAAACAGGATAGCCGTCTTCCATCAACTGTTCCTTGGCATTCTTCAAATATCCAAAAAATGCCCGTACTTCCCACTTTGTCTTTTTTGAGGGATAATAAATGTCCTCCTGAGCGCTGCCGTCTCCTCCTTTGGCCATTATTTCAGCTTTAGCTTCAAGAAAGTTTTGGTTGTAAACAAAAATGCGTGCATGTGCCGCCGGCAACTTCAGCAGATGATACGGTGGCTGGTAAGGGTCACCGCGCCTACGCCGCAGCCACGGTAATCCACCAAGATAATATAGTTTTTTTAAAAAACAAGACGGTTATTATTATTGTCAACTTTTTTTTTACCGGGGTTTACCGCTACACTGGTTACCGTGACAACCCTACCGATCGGTCTGCTTTGATCTATTTTGAAAACTCCGATCAAAACCGATAGGGGTGCTATCGGCCGATTACGTTCAAATGCCGATCCATCGGTGCATCCCTAATTTTAAAGCTGTCCGACTGAACATGTAGTCAGTGAATTTGATCTGAGCCGAGCAGAAATAACCTGTTCTTTATAAAAATGTGAAGCTTTTCTGTGGAGAAATCTTATTTATTTATTTTTCATACAAAAGAAGAAAAACTTCATAAACACCAGTCTTAACAAAATAAAAAGCTTAAATTGTGAGACCAACTCTTTATTTTCCAGTTCAAATTAGTCCGATCAGAAGTTGAGATGTGAATGAAAAGCATCACTTGCCGACTCAGCGATGACACAGGAGGCTTTTCTCATGCCTCTTCTTTGCCGCTGATTATCTTTGCTCTTCATTCCTTCTGCTGACGAGGTGGAAATTCATCTCAGAAAGAAATCTTGAAGGTTGTTTTATTTTAAGAAGGTAGAGGCTTGTGAGAGGAGCAGTAAATCAGACATTTCCTCCTCTAAAGTCATTAAATCAAATCAAATCAAAGATACTTTATTAATCCCAGAGGGAAATTAGAGTTTCAGTTCACACAATTCAGAGATCAGACATATATGGGCAAGACACATGACAAGAATTGGTGACTGTGGTCATTCGCAACCCTGAGTCACGCTACCTTAATAGAGATAAGAGGGTTACATGAGGATTGGTTCAGGTGGAGGGAAAAAAGGCACTTCAGAGTTACCCTCCACCGGGAGGACAGCTTTGCTCTGCAAAAAAACACCTCAAACATATAAGCAACAGACTTCAGACAACATAAGTGTCCACTAGGTGGGGTGGTGGGTTGGGACTATCCCCACTTCAGTTCCTGCAGCCACGATAGAAGCATGTCACCTACAGGGGCCTTTTGCATTGTCTGGGTTTTACTCATCAATCTGTTCATGTTTCAGCTGTTCAATGAGAACTTTGAGGTGACCACTCTGAGAGTAGATGTTCAGACAGACGGACGACATGCGGAGGTGGAGTTCACCACCGACTGGCAGAAAGATGCAGAGCGGAGAGACCTCACCATCAACTCAATGTTTTTAGGTGATTTTCTTTTCATCTTTACTCTACGTGAAGCAGTGGCGGCTCCAGAATTTTTTTTCTGCAGGTGCTATGAAGGAGCTAGTCTTTTTATTGAGGGTGCTATGAAGGAAGTGGTCATGCGTACCTATTGTTCTCTAAAACACCTTCAACACTAGCAGATACACATGCGTGCACAAAACCTCAACAACATCTGAAACAATCATTAATGTACATCATAAACATATGAACAATCGCTGACTTTTCCATGAAATCATAAACACATACAGCCACACAGAAAACCATCTATAGTGTTGCAAGGTTAGCTAACGTTAGTGTTAGCTTTTCCAGCGGCTAAACCCTCGACTGCTGCAGCGGTTGAGCTGATTTATAGCTCGGTCAGGTCCTTGTTACCCACATGGAAAACCAGCATGTTAACCATATATGGTTTGAGAGAGGATCTGGGAGGGGTGGCAACATTTCCAGCAACACTGAAACCCCTCTCGTTGCACTAACGCACACGTACCTGCGTGCGACTGGCGAGCAAAGGGAATCTCTCCCGGTTGTTGCTCCACCATGTCAGGGGGTTTTCTTTAGGGTGGATGCATTCCTCCTGCAGGTAGCGAGTGAGCTCCAGCTCGGCTCAAGCTCTCTTCGGGACGGTTGCAGAAGCAGTGCTTGTCCGGGACTTCAGCAGGTCTCCGAGCGTTTATTATTATTTTTTTGCCACTGGTGGCAGCTCTGTCTCGGCCAAGGACTCTGGCTGCGCAGCAGCTGACGTACTGAAAACCAAAGTGCTCCCAAAGGAGCGAAGTAACGTTTCGTTTTGATACCAGTGCAGCCATCCTTCTCAGCATGCATCATTGAGTTGAATCACGTTCAGTAATTGCGGTGGCCCATGTTGCAGCGCGGTGGGTTTCTTCATATTGCGATATTTCATTTTTGCGGTTACCGTGACAGCCCTAGCAACACCACAAACTTGTTTAATCACTTGAAAAGAAGGCATCCCAGACAATACAATGAGAGCCAGCTGGCAGCTAAAGCTAAAAAGCCTGCGGCTGCAGCGGCTAGTGCTTCTTCCAGGCAGCAAACGCTAACAGAAACACTCACAAAACTCACTCCTTACGACAGAGACAGCAGACGATGGAACAGCGTGACAGATGCAGTGACATACCACTTGGTTAAATATTTGTGTCCCGTGCGAACAGTAGGAGTGGGATTTAAAAACATGATAAAAACGTTGGATCCGCGCTACGAGTTTTCCAGCCGCAAGTATTTTTCGAACACCGCCATTCCACGCATGTACACTGAATGCAAAGTGAGAGTTGCAGAAAATATTCAGAATGTGCAGTTTTTTGCTACCACAAGCGATCTCTGGTCCAGCCGCACGTCAGAGCCGTATTTGAGCTTAACTATCCACTACATGAGCAACTGGGAGCTGCATAGTATTTAGAACAAGTTAATGTTTGCACAATACGTTTGCAATTGACATGTTTGCACTTTAAATATGTTTATGATTTTAATTTATGTTAAGTTACTTGAAAAACGAGAAAAACTGATTTTTGTAATTGTTTCTCTCAGGGCTTTTATCATCTCTGGTGTGAGTTTAAAATATAAGTGTTAGCACTGTGTTGATTATCCCTAATATGAATAAATGTTTATTTATTCAATGTTTCTCTTCTTTAATACGCAATTGAAGTTATGCTATTCATGGATAAAAAATCGTGATAAAATCGAAATCGTGATAAAATATTGGAAAAATCGTGATATTCTATTTTTGCCATATCACCCAGCCCTAACTGCCAGTGATGTAAACTACTTTGTAGCCACAGCCGCCCTGGGGCGGTCTGACAGAGGCAAGACTGCATTTGGCGCCGTCGGTCCCTCTGACCACCACCAACACAGGAAAGTTGGGTGAAGTGTCTTGCCCAAGGACACAACAGCAGAATACCTCTGGTGGGAGCTGGAGTCGAACCCATGACCCTCCGATCATGAGGCAACCCGCTCTACCTCCTGAGCTGGTGTGTAGTCATGCTAATTACGAACTTTTACAAGCTGATAAATCTCAAAGTACGTGGCAGGCGTGGTTGAAACACCCATCATTAGTTTTCATTTAAATTGCAGTACAACCTGTGTGATCCAGCGTCTAAGGCAAAGCGGGTTAGAAAACGGCTCTTTTAGCCTCGTTCTTATTCTTATGGGGACTGATGAGTCGACCGGAAAGACTAAAGGTTGGTTTATGCTTGACGGGTCCGCGAGGTTCGCACGGCTCCGCGCGGAAAAGTTGCGTCATTTTAACTACCACGCCCCTCCACCGCGCCTCCGCACGGCCCAGAATTTCCGCAACGCGCACCTCGGAAAATTTCTAACCACGCGGATGGACGGACGCGGAAAAACATGGCGGACCGGCAAGAACTAGTATGGCAGAGGTTCGTAAATACAGACATTTGTATGCTTCAGCTCTCAGAGATCACCGTGATCAACATGTTGTTAATAGTTCTTGAAGAGAAATAGCTCGCACTGTCGGAAAAGACGAGGACGCTGTTAAAAATGCTGGAATGCCATGTTGTTAACAACAGTAATTTCTACTTGTACTATGGTGTAGTGTTGGATGCATGCCGTAGAGCTCCATGCTGCCCCCTACAGTTTGGGAGAATATTGGCTCACCGCAGAGACGAGCCGCATGAACCATAAACACTGCAAGTTGTGAAGCGCGTTCCATCAGCGAGCCGCGTCACCACGCAGAAAGTGAATGTGTCGAGCATAAACCAAGCTTTAGGCTCTCTATTATGGTTCAGATACTTCATGTTAAACATGCCAAGTATCAGTTTGGGCTGTTTATTTAATCTTCTTACAATAATTCAGTCCAATAACAGTCACTAATAACCTCTGACTGAATGCATCACAATACATCGTGATACATTGTATCTTCCCTGTTTTGTGATGCGTATCGAATCGCCATAATTTCATCATCACACATTCCTAATTATTATTGATTATTTCCCTGGGATCGTCTCCTTGCAGGGCTTGATGGAACATTGTACGACTATTTTAAGGGCTACGAAGACCTCCAGAACCATAAAGTGCGGTTTGTTGGCAGCGCTGAACAGAGGATCCAAGAGGACTACCTGAGGATCCTGAGATACTTTAGGTGGGCTGCCAGGAATGCAGTGATTCTGCTTGTTTTTTGTTGTTCTTAATCACGACCCTCTCCTTTCACCACAGGTTCTACGGCCGAGTGTCTTTAAAGCCCGACGACCACGAGTCTGAGACGCTGGCTGCCATCAGAGAACATGGCCGCGGGCTGGCAGCTATATCCGGAGAGAGGATCTGGATGGAGCTGAAGAAGATTGTGGTTGGAAATCTCGCTGCTCATCTGCTGGAGCTGATCTACGATCTGGACCTGGCTCGGTACATCGGTGAGACATGATGGAGGCGGGGCTTTAGACACAATACTTCATCAGAGATGTATGACCAGCTTTAAAGAATGCTGCTGCACGCTACTTCTAAAATACAGAAGCCCCGCAGCGCTTTCAATCAGCAGCTTTTGGCTCCACCCATCAGAGCACCTTTTGGTCCCTGCTCCCACTGTCTTGTGTTTTTAGCTGTGGGAGACGAACTTGGTGTCCAGAGTAGAGGTAGACGGTATAGAAAAAAATACCAAGTGGATGGATGGGGAAACAAATGTATACAGAGTATACAAGCTGTGAGGATAGAAGGCAGGGTGGAGCTGGATTCAGAGACGACCTTTTTAAAGGCCAAGTTCACTTAGAAACCGTTTTTTAGCTGTTCTTCATGAAATATTAAATGTGCAGTTAGACTTCAGTTTCCTGCATTAACCACTGATGGGAAATGGCCGGGACTGTTTGGTTCTGACCCGGAGCTCCACCAGCTGACTGCTTCCTAAACGTCTCTAACGGCTGTCTTTTAAAGGAAACGACATTTCAGTTTTTCTTGTGACTTATGTCACATCTCAGATATCCAGATGCATTGCTTTAGTTTTAGTTCAGATTTGTTCTCTGGGTCATAAAATGACATTTCCGTGTCTATTGTGCTCATTTCCATGCGGCTGCTACACCTCAGGTTTACCCCCTGATGGCGACGTTGATGAGATGAAGCGTGTGTGGCAGAACGCCAAAGACCTCTCTCCCAAGGCCATGACCATCCTGGCTGCTCTGTTCCACTCTACGGAGGAGGTGGAGAAGATGGATATCCGACTGAAGGTGTCCCGGGAGGAGAAGACCCTGGCTCTGTTCCTGATCAGACACAGACGGGAGCTCTGCAGGGATCAGGAAGGAGCAGACGGCCTCAAACCGTTTACTGACTACATTATTGATGTGAGTCAAAACCAGGAAACAGTTCATGATTAATTTGACCTAAAAAGCTTCAGTTTTCCTTTAATAAGACACTCCAGTGTCACTTTTTAAATCTAGTGTGTCCGTACTTTTGGGGCAGCAGTAGCTCAGGAGGGAGAGCAGGTTGTCCTGTAATCGGAATGTTGCTGGTTCAATCCCTGTGTGTGTGTGTGTGTGTGTGTGTGTGTGTGTGTGTGTGTGTGTGTGTGTGTGTGTGTGTGTGTGTGTGTGTGTGTGTGTGTGTGTGTGTGTGTGTGTGTGTGTGTGTGTGTGTGTGTGTGTGTGTGTTACACTGTAGTGTAAAGCACTTTGGTGTCCTCTGACTGAAAGTTGCTGTACAAGTGTGGGTCATTGAAAGACAAAGGTCTCTATTATAAGGGCAGTAGTCCTCGTGGGCCTCACAAATGTATTTTTACTGAAACTAGGTCTATGATCAGCACGCTAGTGATAATCTAAAGATAAAAATGTAGCGTGTGTCTACATCATCAACCTGCTGGAGAGAGAATCTCAGAATTCTGGAAATTTAATCTGGGACAAAAACCAGCCTGAGGTCTGGACATGTCCCCCGGGCCACCCGGGACATACCCGCTGTAGCCTGTTGCTGTGATGAACCGTGACTCAGACTTCAGCGTGGGATTAACAACAGCTAATGTTCTAGCTGTTAGTGTGGCAGCACGGTTTAAAAGCAGGGCTGACGTGTGAAAAAGCTAAGTCCTGTAGGTGGCAGTGTTGTCAGTAAAAAGGGGGTTTGTGTAATTATCACAACCCAAACACACACAAGACAACAGCTTTTTAACAGCGGTTCACTGTCGTCATCACTTTTCACAAGTGTTTAATGATAAACTCAACATTTCTGATAATTCATTACTTCCAGCCAGTGTTGGAAACGTTACTTTAAAAAAGTAATTAGTTATAGTTACTGATTACTTTGTCAAAAAAGTAACTCAGTTACTAACTGAGTTACAAGATCATAAAAGTAACTAATTACCAACAAAAGTAACTACTTAGTTACTTTTTTCATTAAAGAATGCAAGAATTACTACAATAGTAAAATATAAATGACTAATGACTGGAACATAATAAAATGTATGTCCAAATGTTTTATATAAACCTGAATAAGTTAAACAAATAAGCACTTAACAGGAGGAACTACTAACAGGAGCATTACACTAATCTAGACTATTAAAAGGTCACTGTGTGATATTTAACAAAAACCCAATCAGCTAAAATTTAAAACTGCAAATAGAAACACCTGTAAAGGTTCCCGAGCCTTTAAATGGTCTCTCAGTCTAGTTAAATTACAGAAATAAATGTAATTTTGCACAGCATTCTAATTTTTCCAGCTTCACATAATTGTGTCTTTTTAGTAGCATTTCTGTTGTTGGTAATCTAGTAACGGTTAAATAAATAAATAAATATCCTTTAAAATGACACTAGAAGAGGCACAAATCTGATGGAGGACTTAAATGTACTAACGTGGGTCAGACCCAACCACAGAAGAGCTGAAGCTGGGTGGTAAACACACACAGGTAGTTCTAATAACACCTGAGCTCCATGACGTCTGAGACTGATGCATCAGTGTTACAGTGGGACTAAAGACATGATCAGAAACAGGTTACAGCTGGATGATCTAGGAAGGTAGAAGATCAGGACGTCTGAGCGGTGAACAGGTGAGCGGACCTTCTGGACGTCCCGCTGTCACGCTAAGGGCACGGCTGCAGTCTAGACCCGCAGATTCGCTGCTGCACGCATTTCCTTATCAGTAACAGGAACGACGTTTTGATAAAAGAAGACGTACTTAATTAGTTTGCTCGTTACAGAAAGAAATATTTTTATTAACGCGGTTATTTTAAACAGAGTTATTCCCGTTGTGTCTACAGAATGCAGAGACTGAGACCGTGAGGGTCTCCGCCCACCCGGCCAATCATCATCGTGTTTGTAAGCGCGTTACCGACACCTCTCTCTCCCTGGCTGCAGCTGAAGTGTGGCGGTCAGAAAGCCTCACGCAGCTGCTCAACGTTCGACAAGCACATAGTAACGCACAACGTTCCGTCCCCAGTAACGGTAACGGCGTTGCAACGGCGGGAAAAGTAATTAATTAGATTATTCCGTTACCTATAAAAGAACGCCGTTAGAAACGCCGTTATACTTAAACGGCGTTACTCCCAACACTGCTTCCAGCTGTTTGATGCTAGGGATGTTCCGACCACGCCTTTTTGCTCTCGATTGGAAGAATCTGCTGATACCGAGTCCCAATCAGATACTTCAGAAATGCATTAAGATAGAAGGAGAACACACTAGAGTTGTCCTTTAAGTTTATTTAACCATTAATGTGATTCTTTCTTTCTGTATTTGTCATGTCTTTAGTTTATTTGCCATAAAACATCACCTGTTTAAGGAGTACATTCATAAGAAACATGTTAATTTTAAGAATGTATGTAAAAGTGGCCTTGTCACTCATTTTCAGCTCGTTTACTCGGTGTACAGCTGTTTTGAGCTACAGGGATGGCACGCCACAAGCTGGTCAGCAATAGGGTCACTCTTTTCTACAAAACACCCGCAGTGCTGCTGTGTGTGTAAAGTTGAAGTGAAAGCAGATCATACTGCGACTCAAGGAGGCTGCAAAACCTGACTTTTTAATGCATCTTTTATTGGTGTCGGCTGGCTCATCCGAATTGTTGCAGCGAACTGAGCAGGGTCAGTTTCTTTAAGGCGGCACATCAGAAACATGCTAAACACTTTCACCACGTTAAATGCCCAGTTTGCACACATTACACTTCCTTTGCTGTTTGTTTGAAAATGCATCCAAGTTGCGCTGACAAATATGCTCTGTGTTAGCCAATTGCTACATGTTATGGTGTGTGAATTCCTGGGGTACCTCAAGTTGTGGACCAAGATGGCGCCGAGGAAGGACACCCTGGTGCTAACGTGTGTCGTGTTTTGTTTGTTTTTGTCTGTAAATTGTGTGTCAGCGTGCTCTTACACCCGTGAAGAGCTTCTAAACGTCAGAAAATCAACACCGACGGACCTACTTCCAGTTTTTTTAGTGAGTGTGGAGGATTTGGTCCACTTTTTTATTAAGAAAGTGAGACGCCGTAGGAGAGGGAAACGTGCGGGAGTGCTCGTGCGTCTACGAAGACGCGGCTCACGTACGCCTTTACCTGGGATCTTCCTCTCCAATGTCCGCTCACTTAGCAACAAGACGGATGAACTGGCGTTGCTGATGAGACGGAACAGAGACTTTTCTTCCTCTTCTGTCTTATGCTTCACGGAGACATGGCTCAGCGAGTAAATCCCGGACTGCGCGCTCCATTTGGAGGGATTCCAGCTCCTCCGCGCCGACAGACAGCGGGTCTTATCCGGAGGAAAGACAAAAGGTGGAGGTGTCTGCTTCTACATCAACAATGCCTGGTGTTCGGATGTGACTGTGATCTCCCAGCACTGCTCTCCTGCCCTGGAATTCGTCTTCATAAACTGTAAGCCATTCTACTCCCCACGTGAGTTTGCTTCATTCATTCTGGCCGCTGTTTACATCCCACCGAGCGCGGACGTGCACGAGGCTCAACATGCGCTCGCAGAGCAGATCCTAAGTGTGGAAGAGACCTTTCCGGACTCTAGTTATTATCTTCGGGGACTTTAACAAGGGAAATCTGAGCCAGGAATTGCCTAAGTACAAACAGTTTGTTAAATGCCCGACAAGAGAGCAGTACACGCTGGACCACTGCTACACCACAGTCAGTGGAGCTTATCGAGCCGTGCAGCGAGCTGCTCTCGGCTTCTCAGACCACGCCATGATTCACCTCATCCCCTCATATAGGCAGAGGCTGAAGCTCTCCAAACCTGCAGTGAGGACCTCTAAGAAATGGACCTGCGAGGCTGTGGAGGAGCTTTGCGTGTGCCTGGACACAACAGACTGGATCGTGTTTGGATCTGCCACAGACAACTTGGATGACTATACAGACACTGTGATGTCATATATAAAATTCTGTGAGGACAGCATTATTCCAACAAAAACAAGGGTCATTTTTAACAACGATAAGCCCTGGTTCACACCCAGACTGAGACAGCTGAGGAGGGAGAAAGAAGCAGCCCACAGAGCCAAGGACAGAGAGAGCTACAAGGGCGCTAAGTACCAGTTCTCAAAAGAGTTGAAGAAGACGAGATCTCGGTACAACAAGCGTCTAAAGGAGCAGTTCTCTGACAATGACACCGCCTCTGTCTGGAGAGGGCTCAGGCAAATCACCAACCACAAGCCTAGAGCCCAACATGCTGCTGACGACCTACAACTGGCTGAACAACTTAACTCCTTTTATGCAAGGTTTGAAGTGTAACACCCATCCCCCACACCCCCTACTGCACAGGTTTCTTCAGCCACTCTGGTGTCATATGCCTCCCCCACCACCTTCACCACTGTGAATAGTACAGTCCCCGCTGACCACCCCTCCCCCTCCACTGCCTTCTCAGTGACAGAAGAGGATGTGCTCAGGGTTTTCCGTAAGCAAAACACACGGAAATCCCCGGGCTCGGACGGTGTCTCCCCCGCAACCCTGAGACACTGCGCAGAGGTACTGTCTCCAATCTTCACGGACATCTTTACCATCTCCTTGGAGTCCTGCCATGTTCCAGCCTGCTTTAAGCTGTCCACCATTGTCCCTGTCCCTAAGAAACCCCGTATCACTGGACTGAATGATTACAGGCCTGTGGCGCTTACGTCTGTAGTCATGAAGTCTTTTGAGCGCCTGGTCCTCCCTCATCTCAAGTCCTTCACCTCCCCCCTCCTGGACCCTCTGCAGTTCGCATACAGAGCTAATAGGTCTGTAGACGACGCCATCAACCTGGCCCTCCACTTTATCCTGCAGCACCTGGACTCCCCGGGAACCTACGCTAGGATCCTGTTTGTGGACTTCAGCTCTGCGTTCAATACCATCCTCCCTGCTCTGCTCCAGGACAAGCTCTCCATGCTCAACGTACCCAACTCCACCTGCAGGTGGATCACTGACTTCCTGACGGACCGAAGGCAGTGCGTGCGGCTGGGGAAGAATGTTTCCACCATTCAGACAATTGGCACAGGATCTCCACAGGGCTGTGTACTTTCTCCTCTGCTCTTCTCCCTGTACACAAACTGCTGCACCTCGAGCCATGACTCCGTTAAACTGATCAAGTTTGCGGACGACACCACCCTCATCGGGCTCATCTCTGACGGTGATGAGTCTGCCTACAGGAGGGAGGTGGAACGGCTGGTGTACTGGTGCAGCAGCAACAACCTGGAGCTCAATGCTCAGAAGACAGTGGAGATGATTGTGGACTTCAGGAAAGTCACAGCCCCATCTCTCCCCCTCGTCCTGACGGGCACCCCCATCACCACTGTGGACTCCTTCCACTTCCTCGAAACCACCATCACACATGACCTTAGGTGGGAGCCATCCATCAGCTCCCTGATCAAAAAGGCCCAGCAGAGGATGTACTTTCTGCAGCAGTTGAAAAAGACCAAGCTGCCGGCCCAGATGATGGTGCAGTTTTACACGGCCATCATTGAGTCCATCCTCACCTCCTCCATCGCTGTGTGGTACGCTGGAGCCACGGTGAGGGACAAACATAGACTGCAGCGCATTGTGCGCTCTGCTGAGAAGGTGATAGGCTGCAGCCTTCCATCTCTCCAGGACCTGTACGTCTCCAGAACTCGGAGGCGTGCAGGTCGGATAGCAGCTGACCCTTCTCACCCGGGTCACAGACTTTTTGAGCCGCTTCCCTCAGGCAGAGGTTACGGTCCATCCGGACCAGAACCTCCCGCCATAAGAACAGCTTCTTTCCATCTGCCGTTAGACTTGTGAACAGCTTATAAACACACAACCATGCTCGTCTTCTGTACTCGACACAGCGTCACGTTATCGGCCATGTTACCATTACCTGCCTTTTTTTTATAGCTGAAAGTTTTATGCTAGTTTTATTCTATTTTATTCTATTTTTAATCTTATTATTCATGTTATATGTAGCACATTAGTACCGAAGCAAGTTCCTAGTTTGAGAATTGTTTGTTCACTGACAATGGCAATAAACCAATTCTGATTCAGTTGTTTTTGAAATGAAGAATACTAATGTAGAGGACCTTGATGAATCTAAAGTTTCTTTCTTGGGATGAATTTAAAAAGTAATATCTGTTAAATTTGATCTTTTTCACCCGATTTCGATCCGGTCACACAATCGGACCTGATTCGGAGCATCCCTGTTTAATTCTCACCATTATGGGCTCCACGCATGGGAGGCGACAGACGACCGCAATCAGCGAAACTTTTTGCTATCTCTTTGATAACCTGACACACGGTAGGCGGCATGTGGCGGCAGCAAAAGCCGGGGCGAATAGCCAGTCTTCCATTGTTTTGATTGGCCGTCAGATTGGAGGGAATGTTGGATTATTGAAGCAGTTCAGAGTTTAAAAAGTGGTAGAAATGGAGTCTCACAACCTTTTGTTAAGAGTTAAGCGAAGTCTTACTTCTGACTTTACTATAAAAAAGAAATATATGAATGGCTTCATCCCATTTTTTACAAACCAGATAAAGAAACTCTGAATACGAGACCACATCAACAACCAACTCATTTCAGCACATACTGGATCAGGAAAATGACTTAAGAAATGAAAAAGTTGCATCGTACCCCTTTAACAACAGTCTCAAAAAACAAGGCTGCTCTTTCAGCACCAGTTTGCTCCTCTTCGGTTCCTGCATTTTTCACGGCCGTCTTCTGTTTTCATCGGTGTTTACTGGCTCTCCGTTATCGTTTGCTTCAAACCCAAAATACTCCCAAGCGGCAGAAGTTGTGTTCTTTTTAGACATCCAGTTATGTGGTGTTAGCTGCCATTGATCTCCCCGTGTGATGATGTCACGTTCATGAACATCGCTAAAATTTGGACAAAACAGTTTAAACAAATTAAGTAAACCTGAAAATTCAACAGTGCATCTGTTTTCTACATAAAAAGATGCATTTGTTTTATTATCTTTGCCTCCTACATACAGTTTTTATTTATTTATTGTTTTTGACAGAATTGGAACCAACACCGTTGCTAATTTTCAACACCAGCTGTATACGGTAATACCGCCAAAGTCTACCGTAAAGTTTTATCGGAGTGGGAAAAGGCTGTGAATGAACCAAAAACCAAATGGTTCGGTTCTGATTTGGGTGTAAATGTTTGTTACTGAGCTGCTCAGGTCAGGGTGAGAGGAAGGGAGATGATCCCAGTAAGATCAAAAGAAGGAAGCTGGGCTTCTTTTTTAACTATATTTAGCTTTTCATCTGTGGAGCTGCATCAGTTGAGAGGTCATCCTGTTGTACTCCGTTAAACTACCTCGAATCGCCACACCCTGGATGACTCGGAACCTCCAGCAGCTCTGGAAGACTAAGAAATCTTTATTACCAGAGTTACCAGGTCTCACTGGGATCTAAACCTTCTACCTTCTGTCTTTTCAGACCCGGGAGCTGGACTCTCAGAGCAAAGTGTGTGAGCTGCTGAAGTATCAGGGAGAGGAGAAGCTGCTCTCAGAGCTCCACAGATGGTCCATCCCTCACTTCCCCATCAGCGGCCATGACCTCAGGAAGATGGGAATCGCCTCAGGAAAGGAGATTGGTGTTGCTCTACAGAAGCTCCGTGATGTCTGGAAGAAAAGCCGCTACCAGATGGACAAAGATGAACTTCTCAGCCATGTGAAGCTTTAACGTGGTCAAATAAATCCACAAGCTTAGAGCTCCATGTTGACTCAAACCACTGTTTCCAGTAAACCATGATTAGTCTTTATTTGATCAGACAGAATTTGTGAAGAAAGTCAAGCATTTAAAGATGGAGGAACTAAAACAGATGTGCTTTCATGTGGAAGTAAAACGGCAGATTTAACAGGAAGTGACTACAGAAGTGAGACGTGCACACTGAGAATTCCATTCCAGCTTTCATCATCTGAAGGCTACATTTCATCAATTATGTAATGTAAGTATAAGGACGGCCATTTTCTACAACATCTGGCTGACTTAAACGTGGTGGCAGCATGTGTCTCCATGCGGGTCATTTCTAGAGGAGGATCTGTTAAAACGGCTCAAACTGAACAGAACAAACATTTAGGGCATCATCCATGTAATTAATACCAATTATTTAGCTTTTATTTTGAAAAGAGGAAAGTGAACGTTTGTTTCATGTAACCAGTTATGCATAATGAACTGAATGTTTATTAAAGTGTTGTTCTGGGCGTGCTTTGTCCACTCTGAGGTTGCCCCTCCTTTCTGCATGGATTATATGAAGCTCCTCTCCTCCTCGGAGCTTCAGCGTTTGCAACAGCTCAACAGATTTCTCATTCAGAGCTCTCTAGTCATCTCTAACGTTAGTAGTTTTTCCTTTTGGATGTCAGGACTACACCCCACCTGGAGCGGTGATGCGGCCCATTGAGCTCTTTGGACCGGTGGCATGTCTTGGTTCAGTGTAAACACCAGCAGCAACGCCACTTGGGAAAGCTCCCCTCCGGGGATGAGCCTCGGGACGAGCGTCTGGCTCGGGTGGAAATAGCTCTTCTGTCCATCATCTTCCTCGCAGCGGGACTCCTGAACTTTGGGCTCCTGCTGGTGTTGTGCACGCGGAGGAAGCAGCTCTCCAGGATGCGTGTCTTTGTTTTCCACTTGTGCGTCGCAGATCTGGTGGTCACGTTCTTCCAGGTCTGTCCCCAGCTTATGTGGGACATCACGGACAGGTTCGTCGGTCCGGACGTTCTGTGTCGTGTGGTGAAATACCTTCAGGTGGTCGGGATGTTTTCATCCACCTACATGATCGTAGTGATGACCATTGATCGGTATCAGGCTATCTGTAACCCCATGGTGACCTTCCAGAGGAAGAGAGCGCGCTTGAACGGCCTGGTGTGCGCTGCATGGTGCGTCTCCCTCATCGGCAGCCTCCTGCAGATCTTCATCTTCTCACGGGTCGAGGTTGCGCCCGGTGTGTACGGCTGCTGGGCTCAGTTCATCAAGCCGTGGGGTCTCAGAACACCGGTTCTCATCGTCAGCGTGTGCCAAGTGCGCATCTGCTGCGCCGTGCACTCCAGCTTCCACATGAAGATGCAGCGGAGCGCGGAGGAGCCCGCCTCTGGCTCCTCTGATCCATCTAACACTGAACACTATTCACAACACTTTGATTTACTTTGTAATCAGGTCCTGGACGTGGTTGCCCCTCTCAAACTTTGCAAGTCTCGGCCTAGGAGGGAGCCTTGGCTCGCTGATGTCACACGGGCTTGCAGGCGGGCGTGTAGATTCTCTGAGAGAAAGTGGAAAAAGGATGGCCTACAGGTCTCGCGTGAGTTCAGAGCATCTCTGGTTGCTTATCAGGAAAAACCTCAAATAGATCAGAGTCAGCTAAATGTGAGACCAGCTGCTGATAAACAACTTTCTCAAGCAGTTTAGATGTAAAGGGCAGGGTAGAGATAGGCCTGTAATTTTCGATCACAGAGACATCAGCACCAGGTTTCTTCAGGGTCGGCCGAATAACTGCTGCTTTCAAAGCAGCTGGGACCACACCTGTGCTGAGGCTCCCATTGATACTCTGACCAAGTGAAGGGCCAAGACACGGAAAGGCAGCCTTCCAGAGACGAGGCGGCAGAACGTCAAGTGGAGAGCCAGATGGCTTCTGCCTCGCAACAAGCTTACTCAGCTCGGAGTATGAAACAGTATTGAGGGAGCTCAGGGTGAGTGGTGATGGAGGAACTGGAACAGGGTCAACAGAGTTACCGGAAATAGCTGCTCTAATGCCTGATACTTTATCAACAAAGAATCTGTGAAAATCTTCAGAGTTTCCAGCAGCTGTAGGAGACATGGAGCTAGGCCTGATACACCAGAACAGAGTTTAGTGTTTTGTAGAGAATCCTGGGATTATTGGAGTTTGTCTCAATGATGTCTGCAAAATAGGCCGTTCTGGCAGTCCTCACAGCATCCTGATAAGCAACCAGAGATGCTCTGAACAACTCACGCGAGACCTGTAGGCCATCCTTTTTCCACTTTCTCTCAGAGGATCTACACGCCCGCCTACAAGCCCGTGTGACATCAGAGAGCCATGGCTCCCTCCTAGGTCTAGACTTGCAAAGTTTGAGAGGGGCAACCACGTCCAGGACCTGATTACAAAGTAAATCAAAGTGTTGTGAATAGTGTTCAGTGTTAGATGGATCAGGGTTAAAGGTCTCTAACCTTACAGACATACAGTCCACAAACTTTGAAATAGTTTCTGCATCCAGGGCTCTGAACCTAGTAGCGGGAGCTTCGCACACAGGGACAGGACATGGCAACGTAACATCACAGAGTATTGGAGAGTGGTCAGAGAACACAGGAGGCAAAGTCACAAGGTTCATGACGGCGAGACCAAAAGAGAGAACCAGGTCCAGGGTGTGACCCCTGGCATGAGTTGGGGACGATACCCATTGAGTTAGATTGAATGACTCTAGCAAATTAAAAAAACCTTTAGCAAGCACATTGTCGGGACAGCAGATATGGATGTTAAAATCACCAAAAAATAGGACATAGTCATATTTTAGGATGCAGTCTGCCACGAGATCACAGAAATCATTAAGGAAGTTAGAGTCAGTCTTTGAAGGGCGATAAATCAGCACGACGAGCAGGCGGGGGGAGGTGCACAGTTCAAATAGGCATAATTCGAAGGAAGAAAATGACATGGTGGGTGTAAGCTGTTTACAAGGAAAGCTGGGTTTAAAAACAACCACCAGCCCTCCACCTCTGCCCCGTGATCTGGGGATATTAAAACAGGAGCAGCCAGGTGGTACCAGCTCCAGCAGGGCGCTTGAGTCGCCAAACGGGATCCAGGACTCACAGATGCACAGAGAAAACCCAAGTCATGCTGAATAAAGTATAAAACGAAGTATAAAAGTTTTGTTCAGCATAGACCTGGCATTGACCAGACCAAACCGGGTCTGCGGCGGGGCTGCAGCACCAAGATCGCGCACGGGCCCAGTCTCCTTTAACTCAGTGCCCGTAACCGAGCGCAGATTCTCCCAGCAAACCCCAGTCTGGCGATCTTCGAGCCGATCGGCCGTGGCGCGGTGCCAGTTCTCCCTCAGAGCCGGCCAAGTTCCCTGGGCAGGGCGCCAAGTAATCCAGGAGACATCTCGGAACCACCGGGTCAGAAGCTGGGCCGAATCGGGCCAGCCGCTTCTTCAGGGATCCAGGCCGACGTCTCACGCGCCGGCTACCTCTCTTTCCCCGTCTTCTCCGGTGCTTCCTTCTCGAGCTGGGGCGGACAGAGGGTCGACACATCACTGCTTAGGGGGAGAGAGCACACGGGCAGTCCAACCAGCAGCGCCATCCGTGAGGTTCCCAGCTCGCGCAGCCCGGTTCCCAGCACGCGTAGCCCGCTACATCAACGGAAGGACGAAGCCTCAGCAGCGCAGCTCGATCATATGTCAGCAGAGGATACACACCATTCAAAAAAAACATCAGAGACAACAAAAATGCATAAAAGCCAATAAAACACCAATAAAAACCAGTAAAAAGCAAGGTACCAGTGCATAAAGAGGACGAGCAGCTCGCAGCGTGCACCCGCGCGAGCGCCATCTTACTCCATATGTATGCCTAGCTCTGTCAGTGTGTCCCAGGGCCACTGTGGCTACGATGTAGCTCATCACAATCAGTGTGTGAGTGGATTAATGATTCACTGTAGCATAAAGGACTTTGGAGTCCTCAGGTAATTTATCATGTCATTCTGTAAGTTTTGCATTTGTTTTGTGATTTTATTTATTTATTTATTTATTTATTTGCTGAGCTCTTCGGTGAAGCTTGTTGTTATAAAACTAACTTTGACAATTGAATGGTTGTAATTCTGTGTGAGGGTCCAGGGTAAAATGATAGCTGTGCTCTGGAAATTAAAGTAAGAGAGTGCCCTCTGGAGGAATCTACTCACATGCATCAAAAAAGGTGACTGCCTATTAAAACGTTTCTTGTAAGATCTCATTTTTCATTGTATGCATTGTAGCTCATGAGAAAACATTTAGCAACTAAGGATGGTTTTTGGCTAACAAAATGTTTTCAAGAAGTAATAAAAAGCATTAAAGACCACACCTGGGCTGATCGGACACTAATAGACATGGCCATAAAGGACTTTATGTAGAGGAGCTGTTTGAATTGAAGCCACAGAAATCCATTATTAATTCTTTTTTTTCTGATACTGTATATTTGGACTTTAAACACTTGTAGGTCTGCTCTTCATCCAGAAGATGTCAGCACTACTCTCTAAAAAGCCCAGGCAGCATACTGTAATGGAGATCTGTAAATATGAAAAATTGAAAATTTTTAGTTAATCATGTAGTTCAAGATAGCAATAACACAAGTATTTTTTGTTTAATTATTCTACTTTTATTAATTACATGATGGTTTAATGTGGCAACTGACTAGGCACGTGTATCTATGACTAATTATTTATGCAGTTTTTACAAAAAAGCAGTATCTGCTACGGGCCCTACTACAAATGTACACAAATTAACACGTTTACATCAATTTTCCAATGCTAGGCTAGTGTTCAATGCAAACGCAGGAAGAGTTGGTGTCTGTAGTGGTTTAGTTTGTTTAGGTCCCAGAAGAGGATCAGTGAGAGCTGAGTGAGTCCAGGCCTGATCGATCACTGTCTTTGTTGTGCTTGGCCTCTATCTGCCATCAATCAAACGCTGCTTGACACCTTTCAAGGTCAGAGCCTTGGTTTCTCAATACGAGGCATGATTTAGCACTTTATCAGCACACAGAAACGACAAATGGTGTCTTTTAGATTTGTATTCATCCAGCTGCAATTGTATGCTAGAGGTGACAGATAAAGTGCAGTTTGAAAGCATCACCAGACAGTCGTCTAAGCCAGGATGAGGACTGTGGAAGAGGACACGGAACTCAGAATAATGAGCTTCTTGGGTTGAGCAGAGGAGGAATTTGCTGCAGCCAGCAGGTAGTTTGTGTGTGTGTGTGAGAGAGAGAGAGAGAGAGAGACTCTTCGCACACATTTCTCCTCCAGATTACTCACAGTGCTGTTTTTAGCAAGCTAAATACGTCAGTGTGAAAAGTTGTGCTGATTCTTTGCTGACTTGGCCAAATGTTCCACTACTTGAACTCAAATCTGTCAAAAAGCATCCTATTTACATTTAATGTCTAATTTGTTGATACAATGCATATATTTGACCTAATCCAGTGATTCTTACTATTGAAGGAATTTAATTTCAGCTGCTTGTAACTTTCAAAAATATCTTCCAAACCAGTGGCAATGTTCCAGCCACCCTGCATCACCAGTCTGAACAAACTGTTTAGGCTGATTATAAAGCCAGAAGGTATTTGTGCAGTCAACTTGAGTCAAAGTGTTTGGATACAACTTCCTGTTTCCTGCTAGTTCGTCTCCAGCTAAGAGCTAACATTGGGCTTAGATTGTACCAAAATAGATAAAAAAAATAAATAAAAGCTATGTTTGACTATATTTAGTCTCAGATAAAGACAATTAAATAAATATCTAGAAAGGAATCGAAATATAGAACATTATAGATTTAGAATCCTAACTGAATACGTCTGGGCAGCTGTGGCTCAGGAGCAGGTTGTCCAGTAATTGGAAGGTTGTTGGGGCTATCCCGGTTCCCACCAGAGAAGGCTGCTATTGTGTCCTTGGGCAAGATACGTAACCCACCTTGCCTGCTGGTGTTGGTCGAAGAGACCGGTGGTGCCTGTGTTCTCCAGTCTCACTTCTGTCAGTGCATCCCAGGACAGCTGTGGCTACAATGTAACTCAGCATCACCAGTGTGTGAATGTGTGTGAATGAATGTTTTGTGAAGCACCTTGGGGGTTTGTACAGGCCATCAACTTACTTTCTGGCAGACTCATGGTCCAAGGAATAGATAGAAAAATATACAAAGGAGACATCAAATACAAAACATGTTCAGGAGACTGTGCTTCCATAGTGTAGAGGTGTAGCAAACAGCACTATGTCTAGTCAGTGTTAGGATGACACTGTTTTCACATTCAGATGGCATATATGCGTCTCAAGGGATCCAGCCTGCCTTACCATTGAAGAAGAAGAAAAAGCTCTGTGTCCCTGGGCCACTGAGATAACGGATTCCTGCCAAGAGGGCGATGGTCCCGTGGTGGACCAGGGAGGCCACTGGGACTGGGCCACCGGGATGGCCACATTGCGTGCACCCCTTGCAGGTGCACGCTATGCTTATGAGAGATTGATAGCATTGGCCTGGAGGACGGTGCGGGATGCGAAGAGGGTGGGGTGGAGATCCTTCTGTGATGGGTTGGGGCCCTGGACGTCAGTTGGGTTGTTGTGGGGTATGGTCCGTCTGATGTCTGGAGCTACGGCGTGTCATAAGGTGCCCATGCTTGTCAACAGGGACCGGATGGCAGTGACTGATGGTGAGGTGGCAGATATGCTG